AGGTGATGTACCTTGATATAAAGGTTATGTACACATCAAACAAAAGCAATAAGTATTGAAGTGAATGACTTTGGTTTGTAATTGCCACTGCTTATCATTTCCAGTTTTTTGCTTAGCATTTCCGACATCTTTAAGTTTCATTTCCAACAATTTTTACATTTTTTTTTTTCATTTTTGAAATTTTTGCGGGGTATCTCTCCAGCAATTTTAATTTTTACTAAGTAGATGGAAATGGAATTTTAAAAATGATTAATTTCGAACCAAAATTTTCAAAATATGAATAAAATTTTAAAATTCACCAAATATATATTCAAGTAGCACTAAGTCTAATTAAAAGAGTACAAAGAACATGCAATTTTTCCCCATATGTATCACTTACATGTGCCTCAGCGAAAAATTCCTGTTATATTTTTCTTCATTGATACCTTAGCAAAACCAGTATTTGGATTTCAATGATTTAATCTCGTAAATCATAATTCAATCTATAATTTTGATAAGTGAAGTCTTCAACCCTGCTTTCATTGCCGAAAAGTACTGAAAAATGTCGGAGATGAAAACTATAAAATGTCAAATATGAAAAGCTGAAATGTTTTAAAAATTCTGGAAATGAAATGCAGCCATAATTGCATCTTCATTTAATTCCATGCCTTTTATCTTAGATTTTAAACCAAAACATTTTTTCAGTGAGAAAAACGAAATTAACGTCCCATGAGAACATTTATGGGCAAACGTATAGCATATTCGATTAATATTTCATGTACTCTCGAGTTTCCATCTAAGTTTGAAGCTCAATTTGTTTTTGATTTACTTAAAAAAAAATATATCCATACATGAATAAAGAAACATATTGAATTTTTTCATATATAATTCATATATGAATTATTATAATTCACATTTAAAAAGTTAAATGCATAAGCATCTAGTGTTCTATTCCTTCTGCAAATCGTCACAGAAAAAAAATATCATAATTAGCACAATTTATGTTCCCCCTTGTCAATTGATATAACTCCCTATTTTGCCAATAATCATACATGTTACCGTGGTATAAAGTTTATGTCCACAACAAATAAACATAGCATGCAAGTGAGAGACTTTGTTGAATATGTTTAAATGAAAACATCAAATCAATTAATAAAACCATCAAAAACAGATTTATTTTTTTCGATTTCATGCATTAAGAAATATTTGATTTTGTCAAAGCCTCTCTGATCAGACTATTTTTGGACATCTAACATCAACAAAACCTAATGGTATCATAGCTGATTAGTCTTCGATATTCGTGTTGCATTAGCCATCGATAATTATTTTTCTTCTCTTTGATTGGAGTGGTTTAATTGATCAATATTCTGAGCTTTATATGAATGAATTGGAATTGAAATAATTTCAGCAATGATGCGTTATCACGTCATTAGTTGGACATGCATTAAAGTTCCTGCAATTTGATGCTTCAAGTATACATAACGTTCGCTAGCTCTCGATCAGTATGGCGATAATTTCAATCAATATCTCCTTCGGCTGTCCATGGAAACAGAACTAAAGAGAAGAGCTTACTATTTTTCCAATACGAAAGCGAGGTCTATTGTTGCTATTGGAAAATATATGCTGAAGGGAAGGTTATTGGTGACGTCACGTATCACGTGGCCGATTCTCCAATATTCAGTTCCAGTGACATAAACACATCAATGATCAGTGCTCTATTTGGAAGGAACTGAAAGATTCAAGTTAGATTAAAAAAAAACAGAAACGGGTACAGAAGAGAACAAACTGTTAAGCTCAAAGAGAATCGATATTCTTTGTTTTGGACGTTGGTGAGATGAAAATTAGGACATGGAATCGTAACATACTCTTAACAGTGGTTTTAGGGGTTTTATATCTGGGATTCTCAACGACATGGGGTAGGGAAGTTTCCACCAATCACTGGTATGTGGAATTAGATGGTGATGGGGGGATAGAGGCAGCAAGGGAAGTGGCCAAAAGAACTGGATTTACATACGTGAGACCGGTAAGTTCTTAGCTTCTGAATCCATCTTTTAGATATGACAAGCACCTTGTATGGCATAACCAATTCTGAGACTGAGGCACAACTAGATTATTTCAAGATATATTTTTTCAATTATGTTGAATTTATCGTAAATAATTTTATACAAAGAAGTCAAACATATATTTTCTATTTTTTTACAATTAATTTTCCAAAGGGTGTATTTTCTTTGTAAGGTCAAAATTAGGTGTTAATTGTATATGTGCACTCCTTCAAGAAATAAATATGCAAATAATGGCCAGATGTTCATATTTGGTAAATTTACGATTGATTTATTGATCCCGGAATTGTAATTGGCTGCTCTGACCTTCAGGTGACCAACCATTATTACGTCACAATCCAGACATTAGTATTAATGATGGACCTTTCTTAGTGTATAAAACCGATACTGTAATTGGTTTAGTTTCTCCTAGCTCCATGCATTATTCCTGGTATAGTCTTGACTTTAAAGTTTCCACTTCTGTACTGTAACTGATTGTATTATATTGTATATACTGATAAACTGTAAAGCTTAAAGTAACAATAAAGAAGAAAGAAGACTTTAAATATAGGGTATTTTTTAATATCATACATATGATACAAAAGACATATTCCACTAAATCATCGTTTATCAGTTTAAAACTTAAGACTTTAAACTACAGGGTAATTTTTGAACAGCATACATATGATACAAAAGAATACACTCAACTTACTTTTTCTCTTTTTTGAATTAGCAAATAGCCTCCGTTACATATTTGAAACGGGGTAAGGATTAACTGATCACTAAGATTACCTTCTAGATATATTTATACTTTAAGGAATATATGTTAAATTTAACGAACACAAGATAATTTGGAATGATATTCGGGATTCCAAATTATATCTTCTTGAATAAAGTATTTTCAACAGCTGATGTAACTTTAAGCATTCTAAACCTCTTTGTTAATTGTTTAATTTTTATTAAATCCATTACGTTGTTTTGTTTGTTTGTTTGGAATAATAATCAGAAACATTACCGACCTTTGATTTTATTTTAAAAATCATACGAAAAATTACCTTTTTGTACTTCAGAAAAAATTAAGTAAATCAGCCGCTGCTGGCGGTTTTGAAAACATCAGCTATCAGGAAAATAATTCCATTTTTCTCGGCGACACCTACATATAAGCACCTTCATGCACGACATTCAATCGCCAATAGAAGAGAAAACCTATCCCAGAATAGGAAACCATTCTGTAATACATGCACTTTTAGATATGAGAAAATGGTCCAATTTTTTGTTAATGGCATCTTGTAAAACATGAATTATTAATTTTTTCAACTTTCAATTTATTTAATTTTTATAATTAGTGTAAACTTTTAATTTATTTACGTTTTATAAATAGTTTTTTTAAAGCAAGAAAGAGAGATAAGTATATAAATGATGAAAGAAGTTTACCCACGAACTAAAAACTATCGTATTTGTGAAAAGTGATGCTCTAATGTGTATTCTTAACTCATTTATGATGAAGTCTTGTCTAGAACAGCTTTAATGATGCATTTTACAGATAATATAATACCTAACTTTAAAAATCCTTTATGAACAAAAGCATTCATAATTGTGACTCTCTTGGAGAGAATTTGATGTTGAAAATTTATTAAACAACCGACTTCAATTTTTCAATTCATTATATGTATGAACACTAATTGTCTTATATATTTTTTTTCTTTTCTGTGTGATTGCTTTGCATGCAAAGTGATGGAAAACTCTAATTATTTGATCACTAACTTTCTGGGGGAGAAGTGTCGGCAACACGCTTTAACGATTAAGCCCCAAAAGGAAATATTGAAAACGGGTGCATTCGTATACTAGTTTTTATAAACTTTTAAAGAAAACCCACCTCGAATGAATATTTTGTGCACAGAATGTCGAATACCAACTCTTATGATTTTCCCTGAAAGATGAGAACCTATGATCTGAAGATTATTTTCCCAAATATCCGTCGTCTTCCGGAAACTTGACACCCTCTTTGTCTCAGCCGCCATATTGTAATTCCTTAGAGAAAGTGAGGACCGGTGCTTTGCCGGCCGTCTTATTCATTTCCGATCGATATAATTAATAATTATATAGATATAAAAGAAAAACACGCCAATTTGTTTGCCAAAATCCACTAGATTCGCATTTCTTTATGAACTACGGAGAAAACAATCTAGATGTGTTTGTAGAGCACAAATAATAATGTTTGCAAACTTGCAGACAAGTTGTAAATACAGTTGAAAATATAAAAATATACGCTCGATCTTTTGGGGCATAAAATTAAAGGTTAAACTTTGAAAAGCATGATAAGTATTCTTCTTTTCTAAAAAAAAATATTTATCTGAAAGGTTAGAAAAGTTTTAAGGTGAGAAAATTACAGGACCTTGTTACAGTGATCCTTCAAGCATCCATTGTAGACATATTTAGAAACGCTCATCCAAACAAGGAATAATTGCGCAGAAGAGTGCTTCGTGCAATTTTTATCTTCCATTTTCTGTTTGAGTGCTAAGATAAAAGCGTTATAACTCAGGAAATTGAACAACCATTTGTACATCATTTGGGACATTTGAAATGTCTTCGATCTTTGATTAAAAGGCAGCACTCCCACGCATATCGATACCCGCTCAATGATAAGATCGCGATCAACATCTGCTCCCTATTGTTCGTCATCGTACATCGACTAAAGGGCCGAGTAGGCATTTTTCAGAATCTTTATCGGAAAATTTTTCGAACAGTTTCGTCTGTGAACAAACAACAAGTCTGCATAAGAAGTGGGAGATACTTTAGATGTGTTTTGAGAGATTAACAATCCTTAGATTGCAATTCCTTTATTATGACAAAAAGGACAAAATAGAAAAAAACTTAACACGTCAGCAAAATTAATATTATTTTCATGGCTTGATAATGGAAGTGTTAATTATTTTTCTTTTAAAATCCTTTTTCCAATTGCTTGGATAAACAATAAATAGGGATGAGAGAAATTTACAAATTGTATGCATTGTATGCAAATGGACTACAAGATTACCACAGCAACATGTATAATAATTATAGCTGGATGGAGATGCAGTCCTAGATAAAAGGAGAAAAGAGAATGGAATATAAGATATTTGCTTTCTGAACATTCTTCCTCCATGATATTGGCCTTGTGTTAGGGGTTTGGTTCTTTTGGAATGTCCCTTTAAACAACATTCAATTAAGAATCCTTTCTATTTTTTGAGGTGATAGCTTCCCCATTGCACTCTTTATGCTTTATGCTTAACAAGTTGCACCAGGAAAACATTATTTGAATTCAGCTGTTAACTTGCAAATAAGAAAACACATCAATTTCTCTTGACTGTCACGTCGATCCATCGAATCAAAGACAAGCAAGAAATTGACTCATAAAAAGAGACCCGTTTTTCTTTCCCAATTATGTAACATTCTATGTTTCCTTAATTGCTTAGTATTCTGAATTGAAATCGAATCTATTTAGTTATCTCTTTCTAAAAGTGGAATTCATTTAGCGCCAAATATCAACTATCTAAGATATTTTCATCACCACATGCATGAGTGATCGAATTCTATGCTCTTTATTGAAGTTTGCATTTTGTAATGATAAGGTTGATCTATAATTAAACATAAGGGTTGAATACTGACGTATTTTCTTGTTTTTCTCCACCATTTTTCCAGATTTTAGGTTCTTCAAATGAATTTCATTTTGTGCATTCCGCTGTGCCAAACATCAGGACCAAAAGAAGTATTGGCCATACGAGATTACTTAAGGCTCACCCAAAGGTACAATCTGAAAAAAATATTACTCATAAAGGATAAGAAAAACTCTTAGGCTTGTTTTGACAGAACACAATCTGATCCAATCTAATAACCGACCTATCAGGGAATATTAACTTCATAAATCTTTTCACAAATTCATAAAAAGAAAAACAAATTCCAAGATTTTTCGTAAGCGTTAGACATGATCAACACGTAAGCGAAGAATGTGTGAATTTTTCTTTCCTTTTTTTGACTTTTTCAGGTAAAGCGAGCCGTACAACAGACGGGGTATCTTCGAGTGAAGAGAGGATTTAAGCCAAGAATTACCGGAGTTCCAGTGTCTGAAATTAAGCTTAAGTTACAGTCAATGGATGACGATAAATTCAAAGATGTGAACGTCCATATTGACAACAACAAAAGTCCAACAGATCCCCTGTTTAAAAAAGAATGGTTTTTGGCAAGTATTCCCGGTGACCTTAAGTAGAAAATGTTCATGATTTTAATATATTAACCCAACATACATCAGTTTGATCCCTATGGTTTACCATTGCAATGAGATTGCAAAAGAAAATACCCCATTGCATGGCATGCAAGAGAAAATACACAGGACTTCCAAACATTCCATATAATACTAGTACCTCCACTCCATATTATGCAAGCTCCATAAATATATACATATATACGTGTATATTAATCATTAAAAATGAATTTTCTACAAAACAATTCAAAACCTATTTTACGTCTAAATAATACAGCTTCATAAATACTTGAATTCTAATGTCAGATGCCAGTTTGTTTTCATTCGGATAAGAGAAATCAGTCTTCGAAGTGACAGTTGCGATTCGTGTTTTGACCTTTACATCAGACCGAATTGTTCAGAGACCAATAAAGATAATGCCCCTCATATACAAATACTCTCATAAGGGAAGATTAAGGAAAAAGGCTTCGGGAAATCCAAAAGATAAATTTCTCTGCGATTTTTTGATCGATACGGGAGAAACGGCCGGCCGGCCGTCCACAGTGAACATTTGTGATGGAGGATCTTCTTTTTTTTCATCTCCCTCGGTGGACGGTCTTATAAAGTTAATTCCCTCCATCGATCAATAATGAAATAGTATAACGTAATTGATTTTTAATTATACCGGATCCATGCACACATCAGGAAGTGAGACAGACGCTTGGACCGTATTTTAGGGTATTAAAATCTCCCCTTGACACACATTTGTAAAATAATGGGTGTTCCACGAGTACACCACTGAACGCAAAGGATACCTCCAGATTTGCAATTGCTTTGCAAATTTTCTGCTTTGTCACCATACCCAGTCATTGTCCTTTTTTTGCCAAGAGCAAAATATCGATTTAATGTTGAAGTTAATGAAATCTTTCATTAATTAAGTTAAAGATAAGAACTAAATGGAATGTTTTCTATTCTCATTGCTTTAGGATACGACAGTTTATTCTCGGGATGAGTAATACACTGTACATAGGAATACAAGAATAACTTGAAGCAAACCAAAACAATTAATTGAAACATTCATACGTATTGGACTGTAATAAAAAAATACTTAAAAAATACATCCTGACTTGGTGATTGACTGAAGTAATCAATGAAAAGAGAACAGTCACCATTAAAACTAGTACGACCTAGTTTTAAAAAGTTGATTTTTTCTTCATTTGAGGTTGTCAATAAAGTTTTTAAAAAAATTTATATCTTTTTCTTCTTCTTCTTCAGAAAAATGTAGGACAGTCTGGTGGAATTCCCGGTTTGGATCTGAATGTGGAGGCAGCCTGGGCCCGAGGCTTTACTGGTAAAGCCATAACGACGGCCATCATGGACGATGGTAAGATCGGAAGTTTTTTTGTTTTGTTTTTCCTTTTCATTTTCAAATTCCTGTTAAAGCAAATCTTTGCAAACACTGCAAAGGAATGCGTAAAATTATGAAGTGTGAAACTTATGCTATTTTAACCGAAATATCAACCTCAAAATTACTTAGACATTGGGATTTTTACCATTTTAAGTCGACCTTATTAAAAAAAAGCATACCTACATCATCATGAAAATCTCGTTTTGAAGGAATTATTCATATAAATGATAAGGATAGCTTCAATTTTGTTGTGATGTTTGCAAATACAGGTAATGTGTAATGGTAACGTAATGACGATTAAGAAAATCATCAGACATTCTTAAACAATAAATATCTGAACCATTTTTTCATAGAACTATAAGACAGTAAAAAAGCGTCCAAACGACCCGTCGTATCCCTGCAGCCTATGCAATAAACTTACAATTAACGGAAACCACCATTGCTAAAACATTGAACCATTTATGTAGTTCGATTGGTGCATTTCCGTTTAAGAAAGCTTTTTTCCTTCTTCTTTCATTTTTCTCAAGGTTGGAGAGACATTCACTATTTTTCAAGAAATAGTGAGAAAAGGTATAATTTCATGAAGTGACGTAGATTCTTAAGTCATTAAGGCTTCATCAATGTTTCTTGGTGTTGTGTAACGAAATTGCATGACAATATCAATACCATTTCATATCTATTTAATTTTTCCTTCGGTCTACTCAAAGCACTTCGTGACAATTTGAATTCTCTCCCTATAAGATTTCCTCTTAAGTCAACTATGACAAATCAGTGTTGGCGAGTACCATTACCGTAAGCCGGCCTTCATTACGAATATTCCACTTGCAATATCAGTTGCTTAGAGGCTTAAAATTCTTTTTTCATGCATATTCAATACCGTTTTTATATTCTCTTCCGTGCAAAAATCGTTACTTTTCATCAAGGACGACGATGTTTAACCATATGATTCACTTTATGAAGTTTGAACAAAAAAAAAGTAAAGATTGCATAAATATGACAAAAAGTTGATTCTACGATTTCGTATATCAAAAGCTGGAGTCGGGGCCGCCTTGAGTTAAAATTCGAAGGTTTTCCAAGCCAGTCATTAAAGGCTTTTATACATGCATTGCATATTATTTTTGCTTGTGCTCTAAAGGGGTTTCTAATTTTTAAGTAACTTCATTTTACATGTACCACTTTTAGATTTTCTGATAAAAAGCGAAACCATCATATAAAGCCGTGGTTGTGATTGCTTTTCGCCTCCTCCAACAAAGGAACCAAATGAATGATTTATTAAAGGTTTTAAGATTCTTAGATATTTTTTGTGGTTTTTAACAGCTTCATTCAAAGGATATTAATTTTTAACCTTTTCCACTGAAAACTGAAAAGGTCACCAAAACTTTTTTGTGAAGATGTAGAAGATAAGGGTTGGGAAATGAGGAGGGGGTTAGCACCAAATCCCTTTCATCCAGCTAAAAGTTAAACAATTTTTTTTAATTGAAATTCAGCCATTTCTTGTACATATACTTTGATACATAATAAATGTTCTCTAAAAATTATTCTATTTGTCATATTTTCTACAGCTTAGAAGAAACCGAAGCAACACAAATTTGATCCGACCAGTCCGAAAAGTACTTTGTATAAAATACAAAAACAGAAATTCAAGTCTTACACATAATGTGAAAGGAATACGACTTCACTTGTTTTGTTTTGTGAGAAAAGCTTACAAAGTTTTTTTTCCACAAATAAATAAACATATAAAATGAAACCAAACCCGAGCTTAATAAAAAATTATATTGAATTAGTGATTATAGAAGTTATCAAGTTTATTGTGTTAGTCTTGAGCATGCACGTTTTTTTTTCAATAATGTTTCAACTGAATTACAATAAAAATGAGTAATTTTACCAGCAAAACAATTTAGATATCATATATCTATATATATCATGAAATCATATATTGTGTACACGTTTTTAAAGCTAAATTTAAATTATATATGATTTTTTTTTTATTTTGTTGAACTTGTTCTTATGTAATTCAATCCAAAAGAAAAATAATCTCATGTAAATTGATACCTGTTAATTAAATTATTCTTTGGTTTTATTTGCAGGAATCGATTACCTACACGAAGATCTCCGACATAGTTATGTAAGTATGGATTTAATAAGTCTTTACCTAGTGTGACCATATACCTATAAATGTCTTTAATCAGGCTTTTAATCTCACGGAGAAAGAAAATACTTTCGTAATGTTCAATGTTTTAACTTTATGGTACTCTCATGAATAAAACCTCAGGAGAGATCAATTGATAGGTTTAAAAAAGACGTCGTATGAAATTTCACAATGAATTTTTATAATGCAAAAAACGATATTCCTATTATATGTTGGCTACCTAATGTTAAACTCACACGTACAGTCATGATCACTCAGTGTCAAGATGAAGGTGACCATAGCAGTTTTTAAACCTGTATCTTCCACAGAATGCAAAGCAAACTATGCCTGACAAAAATTTCACACAAGAACAAAATACTGTGTCAAAAAAAGAAAAAAAGAGAATTACACCTTTCCCAAATTGCAGATTTACGTATTGAAGTTTATATTTTGCATAAATGGTATATATGGCAAGATTTGCTTACGTCATAATATAGATTTGCATGTATCTAGACTTGTTAGGCTTGGCCGTATAAACAGAGCTTAGGTTTTGTACAGTAAGCTGTTGTTCGAATATCTAAAGCATGTATATATACTTCTACTTTATCTCCTGAAGAGAACGAATTATACACATTTGCAAATTCAATTCACATATCTTTGAAACATACATGTACTCACATAAGCAAATCTCGGCATAGACGTACTTGCGAATTTGCAGAATTTACTCTCATAAGTAAATATACTCACAGTTTGGAAAAGGTGCTAATCTTCTTATATAAGCAACACCAACAGTTTTGTTTTTATGTGAAATTCTTGTTATATGAATGCTTAGTAAATCTGCTAATAACAATATGCTATATCCTTCAGAAGATACAAGTATTTAAATGCAAACGTTTCTTCCATCTGAAGTTTGAGAGATTCCTGTATTATTTGATAGCGTCAAAAAATGTACATGGAGCCATCTACAGATGATCATGAATTAAATAGAATGTGGTTTTATTGCATTCTGAATTTTTTAAATATTGTTCATTTGTAAAATTCTGAAGGACATCTTTATAAAGCAAATTAGTTGACCTTTTGGTTTTCTAACATTTCCTTTATGTGTTAGCGCGAATCGCTTTCTCGGTAGTTTAAAATATATGAAAGTTTTCTCTCCTCACGAAGAAACAAGCCTCTATGAAGCCACTTTTACAATTAAACATTCAGAACACTTTATGATAAAGGCGCACTTTCTTTGCACATTGTGCAAATTTGCTCATAAGGGTACACTGTAAACTTTTCTGAAGATTTTTTGCAACATACAAACAGAGCTTTGACATCAAATTAACTCACTACCAATGAAATGGCTACGTGAAGATTTGGTATTTTATGAATAAGATAGTATTTGCTTCTAATTGTTAAAAATACGAAATGTAAAATGAATTCTCCTTTTTCTTTTTCCAGAATGCCAAAGCCAGTTACGATTTCAGCAGTAATGATCCATATCCTTACCCCCGATACACCGACACCTGGTTCAACAGGTACGTGGACAGATTCCATGGGAGGAATTAAAAATCATTTAAACCAGCTTCAGCTACAGATAAACCTATAATTGTAGATGCATGCATGAAACATCAGTCCCGAAGGGGGGTTTAAAACAGCTATAAAAGTCTGAAAATAACTCTGACAATGTTTGAATGTTATAGGCTTAGATTGGGATGAATTGCTGGAGAGTTTTTTGTAAATTATATGATTATTCCAACAGGTACGCATTCAGTTTATTAAACGGATATACATGTACCAGTAAATATTGATATATCGACTGATGAAATTGAATGAAGAGACATTAAAATAGCGTCAGAGGGATTCGTTGTAGATTAACGTGATATTCTGAGAAACTTGATTACTTTCAGTTCGAAGATTCATTTTCATTAACAACCAGTAATATATTATTGATACCTGTGTAGGAGGAGAAACTAGTATCAAGTTCCTGAATTTTAAAATCATCACCCAATGAATTGTTTCGATCGTAAAACACTGTAATGTAATTTTTTATCCAGAAATTCTAAAGCCCGGTCTTTCTAGATTTCAGATTTCTAGAAAGAGAAAAACATGCTAACTAAAAGCAGATTATACGAGTGTTTCAAGTTTGATCTTTGAAATGTTGTTTTGACGTTAAATTATCATGAAATATGTGGAGATAATGAACAGTATTCTAGCTCAAAAGTCCATTTAACATTACAAAAAAGGATCCGAGCAAACATGGACCTCCAAAACATCAGAGGTAGGATCAGGTGCCATGGAGGAGTGAGAATCCCCTGCTGACAGGTCACACTCGTCATGTGTTCCTTGTCATGATCGTGAAATAACGGGGAAAAAATCCATGGACAACTCAGTGTGTAAATAATGGCATAACAATCAGTATGAAAAAAGTCAGTCAGCATTTGACTTAATATACGAATCCAGAAGGTTTTTTTTTCGACTATCATGATTCACAATTGCCTATATCATGATTTAAGAAATTTTTCTTGCAAACCATCCCGCAAAACATACATTTATTTGAGGCAATGCTTGCAAGAAATGGAAAATTATGATGAAACATAAGATATTTGACATTCAAGATAATATTCAATTTTGGAAATCGATATATGTGCAATAGTTTTGGGAGGTGGTTTGGAATGTTTTCATTAATCAATAATGCATTGAAATGGATATGAATAATAATGCAAAGCTTTTCTTTGCAACAAAATTTATCAGTAAGCTTTTAAAATCTAGTCGCGTACTTAATGAAAACATGTTCCATAAAAAAGCGAAATTTTACAATATTCATATTAGATGTAAAGAATTTTAAAATTGATTAATTTTGATGCATTTGTCAGACTCTGGGGGGTATTATATGTTCTAACAACTGAGCTGGTGATTAGGATAATGATAAATAATTTGTGCCGTTAAATAATTCCCTAAGGTTTCACGAGATACCATTAATTTGATCTGAGTAAGAAAGAAAATTCTGTATCTCGGTTAAAATCGTGAAAATTTCACACCGCACCCGAAGGTCTTTGCACTTTAGCACGATGTCACCGGACGATTCTTCATCATTGTATGGGTGTCTTACTTTCTTTTACTAGCTCCAGTATTATAAATATTGGTTCTTTCGAATTCATTGACAGCAATTAGAATTTCACGCATTTAAATGTCAAATGAAGAAGTCTTCATTTATATTGAATGGGTGATAATTAATTAAGGTGAGGTTTTCCTTATCTCTTTTCACCTATGTGTAGTTTTCCACGTAAATGAAAGTAGAAAAACATTTCAAAAGCACAAAGGTCATAAAATCTTTAATTGTATAAAGGTATTAAAATCTTGTGAAATCAATTTCTTCTCACGTAGGAAGCTTACATTCTCGCTAAATCATCTCAGATAACTATAACATACAGTGAAAATGTCCCTGAAGTATACATGTACTTACATAAATAACGTACCATTTATAGGCCGTAATAAAAAAAAGTGTTTGGTTTACGCCGACTGACTCATTAAAACCTCTCTACCTTTATTTCTTCGGTGTTTCATTTTTTTTTTTAATAAGAAGGTACACATCGTCTATGTTAAGGATATTCATATCTCCTGTATACTACATGTTTACAGCAATAAATATTAAATAATCTGATAAACTTCTCTGGTTTAGAATGATAACATCAATAAATTAGTAAGTTTGTGATTTTAAAGACGTTTAACAATTTCTTTGATAATTGAAAAAAAAACCTACCTACCGACCTACCTTGAAAAGAATGGGAAGGACTACACCAAAGAAACCATTTTTCAAATAATGTAACCGGACTCCCAGGTTGTTAGAAATTCGTGTCGACTTGAAGGATCCTTTCGTGCAGTTTGGATTTCCTATAGGACGGTTGAACATTTCATATAATTTATATAATATTGATGTGTTATGCTTCTTTTAAACTTCAGCATATACACAAATTAAACAGATGAGAAGAATCCCAAGGCCTCTTTCATTCTCCCCATTCCCACAATGCCTCTAGAAATAAAATCAAAGAATCAAATGAAGTTTTAAATTGACAAGCAAGAACTCTTTCTCTTTGAATGGAACAAAATCCTTTAGGAATAAAATTGAAGAAATTGATAACAATGGTTTGTTTGTATTCTCATGGGATATATTAATGAATGTATATTCATTAAAAAAAAAAACAACAGAATGTCTTCTCTTTCTCTATACACGCTATATGAATGAATTTTACAAAATCACATCACATTTTTGATCAGCTGCTTTTCTTTACCATATCAATTCGTGGCCAGGATGATTCCTTCCACCAGTTGTAATCTAAAACAATCTATAATGATCAGTAATAAGATTACATTTTCTTTTCAGTCACGGTACAAGATGCGCTGGTGAAGTTTCTGCTGCCAGAGACAACAATATATGTGGAGTTGGCGTAGCCTACAACTCACGCGTAGCAGGTAGGTTCATAAATTTTGCAACTTCGGATTTTGAATCTGCAGAAGATGCAAAAATAAAATTATTTTTCTTTAACCATAAACTTTATGAAATATATGGAGATAACGAACAGTATTCAAGCTCAAAAGTCCATTTAACAATACAAATTAGAAGCAGAGCAAACACGGAACCCATTATACAATCATATGCAAGAAGCACTTTGGAAAAAATCAAACGTTTTGATTATAGTTCAAAAATTTATGTTCAGTACTAATGCAAGGAAGAGATTACGTAATAATATCTGGTGAAATGAAAGCTAAATCATGAATAACAACTTAGAAATAGAAAATCGCTCAAGAATTTGTTGCAAACAAAAAATGTAAGTCGGCTACAAATTCATTTCAGTATGTCCTGAACATTCCCGTAATTTCTTTCTCTTGTAACGACTGGCTTAATTTGTAAACTCTTTCCAAAACTGAAGAGTCATCACAATGATTGAAATGGAAAAACAAGCGATTAATATGATGGATTAATTTAATTTCGGTGTCTTTGTATGTAGTTCAATTTCCCCCAGGAATATTGATTTTGTTTCGGGAAATGTCGTAGAAATTGTGGTTTCCAATTATAGATTCCTTTTCTTTTCTCAGTTTTCTGTCATAATATTCCTTTCATTTCAAAATATGATGTCATCTTGGCGTGATAGTGTCACTTTTTTCTGTTAAGAAAACAGATTAGCTGATATTTTAAATATTTTTTGACAATTTCTGAAAGGATATTGTGATGCTATTTAGACAGAACTAATGCGATTTACCGAATTATTGACTTGTTGATGAATTATTCAGAGGTTAGAAAAAATTGAAGATATTTGCACTGATGTTTTTCATTAAAAGTTTGTGATATTAATGCAGATACAGAGACAGACAATTTTGTAGCTGTAAATAAACACATTTATTTTCCAAAGGGTATTATATTAAAGGCGAGTATAGATCAAATAAAAAATCACTTTTTATTATTTATGAATGCTGTTCTTTTATATTTTCACTTTCTAATATTAACGTTAATAATTGTTAAATTGATATGAATATTGCACAGAAAATTGTTCATATTTTTTTACTCTTGAGAACAACATACGAGTGGAGTGACATATGCAGGTAAAAAAAAAGTAAAAAAAAAAAAGCTCAGAAGTCCATAAAAAATACAGATAAGGAGCAGAGGAAATATATACCTCTAAAACATCAGAGGTGGGATCATGTGCCATGGAGGAGTAAGCATTTCCTGTCGAAAGGTCAAACCTGCTGTGTGCCCATTGAAATGGTCAGGGAAACGGAAAAAAAATCTGTAGACATTTCAAGATGTAAATAATGACCTAACAAATTAAGTATGAAAAAAGTCAGCATTCGACATAATGATGGATTCTATTTCCTGAAACTCTATGTATCGACTATTTTATATAATTGTAAATGGTGTTTTAATAATTATTTATGATATATGTTTAATATCAATCCGAATCCTTTTTGTTGTATGAAACATCAAAATAATCAGTGATTTTTTTGTCTTTTAGGTCTACGAATGCTGGATCAGCCCTTTATGACTGATCTTATAGAAGCTAACGCCATGGGTCATATGCCCAATGATATCGATATATACAGCGCCAGCTGGGGGCCAACGGATGATGGTAAAACTGTAGACGGACCTCGAAATATGACCATGAGAGCCATTGTTAAAGGCGTGAACGAGGTTTGACATGATATATACACGATACTTGTAAACACAAAGTACAAACATTGCCTTGTTATGTTTCAACTATAGGTCCTCTGGGTAAAATTATCTGATACTTACAAAATGTACTTTTAACTACTTATTTCAATTTTGCTACCTATTCTTGGTATTGAATGTGTACAATATAATTTGGAAATCGTCTGCTTGCTGAAATTGTAAATAGTTATACTATGTTTGGAAGTCTTAAAAAGAATGAAGAATGTATCCTTTCAGGGAAGACATGGATTGGGTAACATCTATGTATGGGCTTCTGGCGACGGGGGAGCAGACGACGATTGCAACTGTGACGGGTATGCCGCCAGTATGTGGACAATTTCCATCAACTCTGCCACCAACGACGGACAGACAGCCGGATACGATGAATCTTGTTCTTCTACTCTTGCCTCTACATTCAGTAATGGCAAAAGCACTTTAAGAGATGCTGGCGTGGTAAGACCGGTTTATTTCAAATGTTGTGTTTGTGGTATTGTGTACTCCTGAAAAAATCTTTCGTTTTTAATCAGTTTTGTGTTTCTGCTTCATTAGGTTTTTTGTCTTTTCTTCAGGCCACAACTGATTTGTACAACAACTGTACCACAACTCACTCGGGAACGTCTGCAGCCGCACCGGAAGCCGCTGGTGTTTTTGCACTAGCACTTGAAGCAAAGTAAGTCGTACATCAAAGAAATTGTATTGCAAGGATTTGTCACAACAAAATACGCAGAGGAAACACTGCAAGTGACAAATGATTCACGTGAAAATGAAAGGTAACCTATCACCGAAGCTGTTGATATCTCTTCAGAAAACAAATGGCCTGCGTGGGCTTAAATCGATCTGTAAGTCTGCACAGAGAACTGTCGTCTGGTGGTAAAATCGACCACCTCTAAGTCCAGAAATTTGACGTTATACAAACAAACTGAAGTGAGAATTGTCAATATATGTTCTGCAGATGAAGTGAGAATTGTTCATTCGTGTTCTTCACATAACCCTTTAACATTATCTGCAAATTAATGCTACTGAAAATAAAGATTTATCAAAATATCACCATAAAAATTGGCAGTAATGAAAAGGTTTTATGCCGACATTCCATATCTTATTATTTCTAATAACAAGAAATAATAAGACATAGTAAGTATGGAATCGTTCCCGTATTCCCTATTCTTTGTCCTTAAGCAAGAAACAAAGAGATATGTTGCTTTACCTGGCTAGGTTTAATATGTTAGACCTTTTCCTTCAAAAATTAAATATACAAGATTGTAAAGAAACAGATAAACCATTTCCCAAGGTGCTTATGCAGTATACGAAGGCAGCAGTTGTAAAGTGTAGATTTGAAATTTTACAAGAAATTATAAAAGAAAACAGGTAAACCATTTCTAGAGCAGTTTTATAAGCAATGTAATTTGTAAACCGTTACCTTCCAATTGTATTCTAGTAAAGTTGTGGGAACTGGCATAAAGAAACATCCATTAAGTACCACACATAGACACATATTACTGTTTAAGTTTATAAAGTGAAAAAAAGGTTACACAGTACTTAGTATTCTATTTACAAGAGCAGTTTTATCCGCGATGTAATTTGTTTTAGCCATATAGTCCCAGTTGTAAACCGTTAACTTTAAATTGTATTCTAGAACTGGCATAAAGAAACATTCATTTAAGTACAACAAATAAACCCATATTGTTGTATAAGGTTTATAAAATGAAAAAAAAAGTTTTGCGGAGAATTCTTTTTTTTTTCAAGATCTGTTTTTAAGCGATGTAATTTGTTTTAACCATCTAGCCCCAAACTGACCTGGAGAGACATGCAACACTTGACAGTATTAACCTCTAAGAGAAACAGCCTGTTTGATCCTTTCCTGAAGCACCACTGGAAGTACAATGGAGCAGGGCTGGAGTTCAACCACTTGTTTGGTTATGGAGTTCTAGATGCCGGCGGCATGGTAGATTTGGCACAAAAATGGAAACCTCTTCCAGAGCGATTCCACTGCACAGCTGGAAGCGTCAAGAGAGAAGTGTAATTTCCTTCATTATTTTTCATTAAAACATTAAATTTTAAAATTTTTTTTTTTTATTTTTCCTTCCAAAAATGGCAATATCAATAAAATTTATCTTTCATTTAATGTAAATTTTGGACTAACTACAGGATCTGGGGCCACAGACCTCACTTTTGATCTCAGTCTCATTTTTAACCAAAGGAATATATAGCAGAAAAGTGAGACCAAGATCAAAAGTGAGCTCATCTAAGTTTTATTTTCCAAGAGCCTTGTCTAGAAAAAAAAATGAGATAGATGGCCAGTCTGTCTGTTTTTTTTTCATCAAACAGTTCTGTAACTTATTTTAGACTTGACATTTGTTTAAAAAAAAAAGCTAATGTTTTTTTTATTGTAATAGAAAATTTGGAACAGAGCAACCCATTGAGTTAAAAATTGACACTGATGCTTGCAAGGGAAGCGACAATGAAGTAAACTACTTGGAGCACGTGCAAGTCTTTGTCACATTGAAAGCTTCCTACAGAGGAAATGTCGTTATGTTTGTGACGTCACCAATGAACACAACGTAAGTCTTTTTAAAAAACTTCTTGGTTTTTTAACTTACCATAGTGTAGTTTACTCCTCTATGGCAACTGATCCCATCTCTGATGTTTTGGAGGTACGTGTTTGCTCTGCTCCCATTTTGTATTGTTTAATGGACTTTTAAGCTTGAGTACTGTTCATTATCTCCATATATTTCATTGAAATTTTATTCGGAATTATTATCGCATATGTTAAAACCCTTTTTAATTCATTCTGGAGGGAGAAAATTGATTCACCGGAAATTAATTAGTGTGGAGTGTTGAAAACTATAATTCAAATGTTTTAGAACATTACGTACCTACTATCTGAGCAATAATGTGTAAACTAGGTAATCAAAATTTAATTAAAATACAGTCTTTACGTGAGTGGATCAAAGGATCTGATTTTAAATTAGAATTTCTTCTCAAATATCGAATGTCAGCATCAACACGGCAGAATTGGTTTTGAACCACAAGTAGCGGTGCTCATATCATTTGAAAAGAAAATTATGGGGAAAAAATCACAGGGGTTTCAGAAAGGATGGATTATTCATCAAGGCATTTTATATTTAATACCGAATTCTAGTGTCATTATGTCACAAGAAATGTCACTTGTTACTCCCGAGCAATCGGTGGTTAAAACGGGAAGAAAACACAATTAGAACGCTGTGCAAGCAGAATCAATATCTAGAATTTTCAGTCTAATAACCCTCGAGACACTGGCATCATTAATAATTGATAGTTCGAAGCTACAACGACGTTTTGTACACAGTGTCTTCTTCCCTCCTTTGGAATTAGCTAACAGAGCTTTTATGAAGACCCTGCACGAAACTGACATCGTCAAGTGGGCGATGGTTCCCGCTTCAGAGGCAGAAATAATGAGGAATTATGATAGAGAAATAACAATGGAAAAACATTTCTGTTTCACTTAACTCACAATGTAGGGTAAAATATGTCTTATAAAAATACGCATTTCTAAGGTCAGAACAACTGAAATAATAGCCTTTAAAGAAAGATTCCTATTCTTTATGTTATCAATTCGAACTTGATCATGTTAGATTAAGAGGGAAAAAATCTTTAATAAAGAAGGTTGAGAATTTTTTGATATAGAAAAGTTTTTTTTCTCCTAAAAAGCATACCGAATGAATTGTGAAAAAGATGTCAAGCTTTGTGGAATCATGGTATAAAAAAGCATACCTTAAGAATGAATTGTAGTTTTTCCAAAGAAAATTAAGATAGTCCCTGCATACTATAATTTTTTGAAAACTAACAAAATTACAAAAACATGTCATCAAAAATATGAATAAAACTTCAATTTATGCCTGAAAATTACAGAAAACATTTCTAAAAAATTACCAATGACATGATCTGTTACAGAACTATGGTGCTGAGTCAGCGACCAAATGACGATGACCACAAGAATGGTTTTACTCGATGGCCCTTCATGACGACCCATACGTGGGCGGAGAACCCGCGAGGCCTTTGGAAGCTACAGATTTCAATGGCCCCTGGAAAGAACAATGCTATGGATACCGGAACCTTCTTTGAGTGGACTTTGATTCTACATGGCACAAAGGAAGCGCCGTACGATAAACAGGTCGAAGATGAAGAAAAGCACGTCAAACTTTACAAAGTTAAAAGGATTCATGCCGCCATGAAGAAGGCTTAAACATCAATCTAGATGTTCTCTTTAGAGCTGTTGTTAGTAAAAATAAAAGATAACGAAAAAGATAGAGAATATCTTAAGAAAATAAATTATTTGAATCCGATTGCCCTTAATATAATAATGTACCAAATGTCACCATTCAAATTTTGTGCTAAAAAATAAATCCCAAATTTTATAAGTAAGCAAATTATATCTAAAAGGGCAAAGTTTTTTTTTTCTTTTAACGGTTAAGATGCATGTGTAAGTCTAACTTTAAGTAAACTTGAAAATATAAAGCCAGTATTGTTGATGTTGAAATGGATTATATATTTACATCGTCTATCATTCTGTTAGGAGTTAGAACAGAAAAAGTAATTAAAGAAATTTTGTTGTTATTAATTGTTGTTAATGTTGTTGTTAACGAAGTTTGGGATATTTCAAAACTATTTCCCCTTTTAATGTTTACTTCAAACATCAAAATATTTTTAATATTAAATCTATTCTTATGCATGCAGTATTAATTTTTGACACGAATTAAGTCCCCCCAGATGAGAGAATTCAGGCCCTATTGAATTCTTCAAGAAAACAAATATATTGAATAAAAGGTCAATTTTGGATCAGAGAAGAATGCAATATATTTGTAAAATTCTTTGAATGAAATATATATACATGAACCACAAGACTGAAAAAAAATTGGTGAAATTGTATTGCAATAATAAAAGGTCAATGAAGAATGGCATTTTTAAATGAAATATAAATACATGAATTACAAGATTATAACAAACATTTGTTTAAGTTTGCTGTATCCTTTTTGTTGTTTTACTTTTATAACAGTTATTTACCAAAAAGCAAAATTAAAAAAAATGCATTTGACTTTTGAAGTTAGAATTCACTTGAATGTTCATTTTGCCAAGTTCTATGTATGCAATTCGATGATCTTATAATTCGATTTTATGCAAATTGACTTCAGAGAGAGAAAAAATGTAAATTGATTTTTCATAAATGTTTAAGGCGAAACTATAATTAATCAAAGTGGAATATTGGCATTATCTTAATATCATTTTGAAAAATTATCAAATAAATTTAATCTTTCTAAACATTCAAGTCTTCTTTTTTTCTTATTCAAAGACCTGTTTTATGAAAATAAATCATTTTCAAATTAGTATGCTGTATTTTAAACAAAAAATTCTTGCATTATATTCCATTTACAGCCTTTTTTTGATAGAATATTAGCAAAACAGATATAAAGACAAAACGCTTTCGGGAAGAAATATCTTTATTGAAAAAGATAATTTATATTTATCACAGTAACTAGCACCTCCAAAGAATGAATATTACACCGTTACCATTATCATTCACCCTGCAGCAGCTTTGGACGGAATAGATAAACTGACGGAACATAACACGCCATGTTCGGTCAATGGCCTAGCATGTCTTTGGGCATCTATTCTTGTCAAATTTGTCTTAATTCCCTTTTCTGAATATGGAAGATTAAGGAGGGAAAAAAGAGGAAAGATTGCTGCAGGATAAGCACGCAAACATGATGTTTGTGATATGTGCTGGGTTAAGACAAAAGGAGAAGATGTGAAAAGTCGCATTCCTCTAATGTCTGCCTCACTCAAAGATTACAAATTTCATATCGGTTAAAATATTGTGAAAATATATACATGGAATACAATAAATAAATGCTTAATAAATGTATCCACAAATCTTTCGTACTACATGTACTTACTATTTTTGAGGATAAATATGGATAAATATTTCATAGGTAATTCAAAAGAAGCGCATATGAATATAAACAGTACATTTTTTCTCTGTCATTTTTCAACTTTGCTTTACATAGACATGTACATGGCAATCTGTATAAAGCCGATACATAAAAACCAAAATAATGCTTTGAACAATAAAATAGTGTATTGCTCCATAAAACTAATTTTTCATATGTTAATAAACGGACTAAAAAGATAAATAACACAAGAAATAAGCACCAGAGGCATATTGAAAACATGAAAAGATTTAATTTTGAAGGAAAAAAAGCACATTATATTTACTGGTTTTAGGATTTAGAACGAACCTTAACTAAGAAATTCCCAACTTCCAATAATTAATCATGAAATTAACATATCCACTATGCAAGGAATTTCGGAACTTTGTTCCAAATAAATAGGAATTTGTGGAATGAATATTTTCCACAAATGACAAAGATCGTTATCATAAAATGTTTTGTGTGTATAGTCCTCGCTCTCACTCTGCTTGTGTCACGAAAGAACATATGCTTATGAAATAGAGCGAGGACCATTCGTATCGAGACATTATGGCAAATTTTTATGTACGTATTCTACTTTGCTTTTGATCAGATTGTATCTCTCATATTATTATTAAAGTAAAGTTTACTTCAACTTCTTTATCAAAGAATTCTTCGTCGTATGTCTATTTATCTTTTCATTCACATACAGTATTCCTCTGGTTATATTCTTTGATGTTCTTTCTTCTCAAAATACAGCGTTTAAGGTTTGACAACAAGTTCCTCGAATATACTGATTTTGCATTTCTATGTAATCACCGAAAAATATTCATAATTTTCACAGTCTTTTGATTTCTAAACTATTTTCATAGGTCTGAAAAAATATAAACCAAAATTCTTGATATCAACCGTTCCAGTGATTTCTAGCATAGGATTATAAAGGAAACTTGAATCCTTTGGAATCTTGTACAAATGACTGGTAATGCCCCCTGATCTTTTGCAATGAGCAATATTTCAAACTCAAATCCTTGAAAACGTTATATAATTTTTAGGTACGTGTCATCTGGTCTTAATGTATACATTTCTATATATAATGCATACAACAGTTTCAAATAACAAGGAAAAACAAATCAAAAATACATGTAAACAAATATATATTATAAATGTATATAATACCCGATTTGTGTATATACATAACTTAACTTAGGTTTACATGTACGCATACAAGGATATGGGCAAAATAGGGGCGTTTTTGTTTATGCATAGGATACAAACTGACAAGTAAAGGTTCATAGACCGATAGGACTGGGGAAAGTTTTCAGAATACATATATCACACAGAATAATAATCTCTGTTGATGTCGTAAAGCCAGTAGAAGTATAGGGTGTACATCCAAATTATCAACAATACAAACAAACAAACAAACAAAAATATTGCTTTATATATCTTGTACACAGATAGTTGTGGTCATAGAATGGAAATAAGAAATGATAGTTAATATCAACAACACAGTGAAGAAATTGAGCGGAAAGATTTCAATTATATATGAAACTCGTAAATGAAACAAAGATATATAAATATTTAAACAAAAGAGCATGTAATTTTGAATTCCTTCACCATCAAAAATCACATGATTAAAATACTGACTAAGAAGTTTATCAAAAATACATCAAGGGTACAATATGGGAACGAATACTGATTTTGTTTTTTCCTGAACATTCCTTGCATTGCATATGAACTGTGGAACAATTAATTATCACCCAAGATGGCCAAAAGCATATCTTTGCTATCGCCAGGGAAATCAGCTTTTAACATTGCCGACAATGATTTTTGGTTTTGTTGCTGAAATTTAACTTTAATGTCCCTCAAGTCAATCTAAAAATAAAAAAAAATTTATAAACTGATGATACAACTGGTTTCTTGGTTAAAGAGTCGCACATACTGTAAAATCACCTTCTTTCATGGGGTTCAATTTTCGAGGTTTGAAGAATAAATATTGGTTCGTGGGATTTGATTTCATGGATAAAGTTTTTTAGTAGTAATGCTATTTTAACATTTCGTGATAGTCATAAATTCGTGGGCCTGTCAGTATCTCGAAAACAACGAAAATTAAACCCCCACAAAAATTAGTGATTTCACAGTAGTTTTTCTTTAGGCCGACCTACCTCCGATCTTGAGACAATTATTCTTACGACATTGTCTTCGTTTGTGCCAAGTCCTCCAAATGACGTAAATAGTTTCTCAGCATAAAATTTGACTGGATCCTCAATTGCCGAGACTAAAAGTAAGACCATGATACAGTTAAATATACAAGTCCTTTCTAACTCATCAACATATGAAAAAGATTTTTTAAAAGGTAATGAAGGGAACACATTTGCAGAAATCAACAATTATATTAATTCATTGAAAAACAAATGAAGGGGTTCAAGCCCATCTATTTATCGGGGATTTTTTTTTAAATTAAACATTTGAATAATTTTATTCTTCTAAGAACAACTTAAAAAGATAGCCAGTGATCATGCTCAAACGTCCAATCTTTCAATATTAAAGATTAAAGAAATGTCAATTTTACCCAAAGAAATATATGCATCTTCCGTTTCACCAACAACAGTGTCAGCTATTGAGTGGTAGATATCATTCCCTGTCAGCTGAAACATAATGAAATATTCTTTATAGTTCGCAGTTCTTAGGAAGAGAATTTGAAATTAAATGACTTTGATAATTAAGTGTCGAAAACCAAATACATTTTTGTTGTCTCACTTTTTGAAATTCGGAGAATGTCAGTTTCACTTGAGCATGGTTTTTCTTCAAAACAACATCACGGAAAGGTTTGTCTACTACATCTACCCTGCCATTCTAAAAACAAAATAGAAATTTATAAAAATATTGTTTGTTTGATTACAGAAAGCGAAAGAGTTAAATTCTAGATTTATTTTACATAGTCACAGCCCATTGACGTATCTAATTCTCTCTTTTACTATATATAAATAATCATTATTTTTTTTTACAGCTATGTACATACTGATTGACCATAGGAATATCACTGTATAACATGTGATTACCGGTATACCTTATTCATTTTCTCCGCATCTTTCTTGGCAGTTTGCCCATTGACCTCTGAATCTTGTTCTCGTTCACCCTGACAAAGTAGTGCTACAAAATCGGCTAAATCCGGATCCACATGCGCTGTTAGTTCCTGGACTAAATCTTTTTTATACTCTAGGTAATAATTTAAAAAAGAAAACATTGAATAAACGTTCTTCAAATCATTAGAGCATATTGTCTTATTATTTCAAAGATTTTTTTTTTTGCAAAATTCAAATCGTCAACTCATCTCGAGTGAAATAGAGTCAACTATAAATACTTACCTTTTTTGAAAATTTCTTTTATTTCTTTCATTTCCTGGTTGTATGAATTAGATAAATAAGTCTATTATAAAAAGTGTATAAAACTGCCACTTAATTATAATTTCATCGTATTTCTGTTTATAATTCGAAGGAATGGATTCCGAGAAAATTTTCAAAACATTTACGTTTTTATGGTATAAGTCCTTTTAAAAAGTTTGTTAAGATTGATTTACTTAAGAAAACGGATTTAATAGTAAGTTACCTTAGCATCCCTTGTGCAGAGAATTCCGACAAGAATTGGATCAGAAAGACCTAGTCCGTCCAGAGCTTCCTGAAGACAATGTGCGTCATATTCTGATGGCGTCATCAGAAGACCTGTTATTACCTCGTCGTGTTCCACACTAAGTTTTTCTCTCAGTTTTGCTTCTAGTGTGTACTGTGGTGAAAGAAAAAAAAACTGAATTCAAGCAACCTTACGATATTATAGTACTTAAATTACAATTAACTCAAATCCTGGGTTTCAAAGATCTAACCTACTAAAGATTGCAAAGTGAACTTGACTTACAGATATGACTATGACATGACTTTCCGTTGTGATCAAGGATATACCAAATCAATCTAAATCCAACTAAAAGACTGATTAAAGTGTTAAAATTTAACACAGTTTTGAAACCATTGGAGATTTCTACCTTTTTGTATTTAGTGGGCCATTTATTTTTCATGATCTGTCGCTGACCATTACTCCTGGTAGTGAGTACATCTATTATGTCCTCCTCATCAAGAGGTACCTCTAATAAAGCGTCATGCAGTCGTTCACAATCTATGGAAGGGTTGAAATTATTGGCGGGTTTGATTGTACCACTGATATTTTTCTTCTGTCTTTCCTCTTCTTTCCGCTTTTCTTTTTCTATATGTTTATGTTTTTCCTCTTCTCTTCTTTGTATTGACGTGTCAGCAGCTATGCGCATGCTCGTTTGTGCCAGTGGGTTGTGTTTGTGTTTTTGTTCTGCCCCTTTGGAGGAAGGTTCCACCCTTTTGATTGGAGGTTTGGAATGCTGAGGTACAGGGTTTGCCCCTTTCCATTTTTTCTGTGTAGATGTCTGATTTATAAATTGTAAACAGTTTATATATCAATATTTTCACTAGAAGTTTTTGAATACCGGTAAATGAAATTGAAATCAGATTTTCAGTTTTGAATATATATGTATAACCATAGCAATGTTTTAAATAATGACATTAGGTTAGATAGAAAAAAGAAAAGACAAGCAATGGAGTCAACATCTTCGCTACCCAAGGGTTTCTGATAGGCTTCTTTCCTTATAAACCCCTGGCATACGGTGCTGTGAAAAGAAGTGATTGATTTGGACATGTATTTAAAACATGAAAGTCTTTTAAAGGATAAATTGACAACAAAAACAAATTTATTTATTTTTCATTTGTTATTGAAAGTGCAAATTTACATCTTCATCTGGATGACAACATACATTTTATAGAATAGCATTTGATCGTTGTTTACTTGCGTTTTTCATTCCCGAGAGTAAAGAGTCAAAATATGTCCCCGAACGCAGATATCGTTGTTTACAAGAACAATTGTTGATTGGTCGATCGATGTGTCGATTCACCCCAATCACGACTTTAGAAAAAAAATTCCATCTTTTTTTTAACATTGTATGCCAAGTGTTTATGAGGAGAGTAGCGTATCAAAATCCCTTGGCTATCGGAGATGGGGAGTCAAATGAAGCCAAAATAAAACTATAATGGGGAAAATTAAATTGAATATTGACTGAAAAATTTATATTTGTAATGAAGTTATTCATAAGGAGTTGATTAGTATATAGCTGTACAAGCATTTTCTGATTGGCTGGTCGAAACGTTTTAAAATATACATGGATTCAATATATTGAATTGTCATTATAAGTTCAAGTTACAATAGAGAAGTATGTGTACGCTTAATACTTGTTAACATTATAACATTTCTGAGCTCACAGAGGAATATTTCCAAGAAGCACTAACGTTGGATACCAGTTAGAAAACTTTTAATCCGAATCCGCGAACATTCAGTTTTTTTTAAACAGATGTACTCATTTTGTATCATGCAAAACAATAGGACTTATGAGGCTCATATGGAAAAGATATCAATAAAAGTGGAGGAGAATACAACCGTTAGACTTTGACTTTAAAAATTCCAAACGTCCACTATTTTTAAGAATGTTCAACAGAATTTCGACCAAGAGAGATTTATTCTCGATCCTCCATGGCACCTGATCCCACCTCTGATGTTTCGGAGGTCCGTGTTTTCTCTGCTCCTGTATTGGTATTGTTTTATGGTATTTTGATCTTGAATACTGTTCGTTATCTCCATGTTTCATTTAGAAATACTGCTATAAAGAAACCAAAGCCAGATAGTATACTAGAAAGCCTGTACGAAAACACACCTGATGTGTTTTAAAATCGTCATTGGAAGACCGGCGTATCACAACATTTGGCAATCTTACCCTTTTGTCCACATGCTTTCAACGAATTCAAATAAAAAACATGAAGAAAAATTATTATATTGACTATATGATATTGAAATAAATATAGTTATTATTATTAATATGATTTTGAATACCTTATATATTTGGAAGATAAATCTATTGGCATTAGATGTACTATAGAGGGGTATAATGTCTTCTTTGGATGTATTACTAGTACTAGTACTCTATACTTGTTTAAATTCAGACAAGTCAGTGATAGACTACTAGAACTCAAATTTAAGCTTTGCTTTGGGATAAGGAAAAATTCTTTATGAAGAAATGTTAAAACACAGCTTGATGTGGAACACTTGAATGGGATCCATGTGGCAGTTTGTCTTCCTTTCAAATTAAGGGAAATGTTCAGGTTTTCACCACAGTAAGTACTTGTTTGCACGATAAAAGACATTTGTAATTGACGTAAAAACATACAAACTTGTGTACAAGTTTGTGCAAACTTCAGAAGGGTTGGGTTTCTAGGATAAATAAAACTCTAGATCAATGGGAGGATAATACATTGTGCCAGGAACATCGTCATTATAACATTTCTACATCTATGTGCTATTTGAATATATTTCTTTGCATGTTTGATACCTTGGTCTTGGGCCAGTCGGGAGGTGTTTTGTTGGCGATTTCCAGTAACACTTTTGTGGTTGTATGCTGACATTTATGTCTTATATCATCCATAAGCTCGGCATCGTATTTCTTCTTGTAAGCCTTCCTCACTGCTGGTATATCAATCTAAATAAATTTCAAAAACAAGATTTGTTTTAAACACATGCTCTTAGTTTTTAGTAATTAAAAGAAGATGAAATGCACAGTTTCCAAAACTCATTTAACTAACGCTTTCTGCATCATCTTTAGCATGAGTATTTTAAACTTATTCAAGATTATAAAATTAAAGATGGATGCTCACTATATGAAGCCGAATCGCTCAAGAAAGCGTTAGCTTAATGAAATTTGAAAAGTGTGTAGAAAAAATGCTTTGGGGTTTTTTATTTTCCAGACAAAATGGAAATTAATTTTATCAAAAAGAACTCTTTGTTAATCCTACCTCCGACCTTGATACCAGCAGACTGACGAATTCCGAGTTAGTCGGAGACATAGTCCTAAATAAGCGGTCAGCAAAATGATTCTCCGAGCCATGAAGGCAATTTACTGTTTTAACAAAAATATGCAAATATATTATTACTAGTTAATATCGGAATTTTGTTATGTTATTTTGATGAACATTTGAACAATAAATTATAGTTTTATTTGATATTTTGTTTTCATTCACAGAGAACAACAAAACAAGTTGTTTGTGTATTCTATTAGCGCCTTCATTGGAGTACATAATTAAAATCAAAAACAAAAAACAATAAATCTTCGTGTTATTAAGTGTCTGTCAATGATAATGCCAATACAAAATATTTATTTCTAGCACAACTGTAATCATAACTGCATAGAGTATCATTTAGTAATATTTTGTTATACAGAGTGCAGATAAATATTTACTGAGTGCAATGAGCGCCTCGGAATACGTTCTCGAACACTCCCTTTTGATGTTTTCTGTCGCCTCGATTCCTTTGTTGTTTATTTTGTACAGATTAAGGACGAGGATGATGTGTTTGTTATTTCTGGTCTTCAGTAACTTAAGGAATTTTCCAGTATCACTCGTCCACCTGCCATCCCCAGACTTTTGATAAATTAAAAAAAATCATTTCGTCATTTCTTCATTTGTATTGAACATCTGTGTACCTGTCTCTTTATATTTCAAAGAAAGTTGGATTCTAATATTGAGTTTAGAAAGCAATTATGCAAGGATTGGTGAAATAAATTAAATTAGAAATATCAAAAGGGTGGGCAGATTTGAACAAGACTCACTTCATAAAGATCCTCAGCATCGGTTTCCGCCGCGCTGTCGATAACTTTATTAGATTCGTCTCTGCCGCCCTGAAATTTGGAATTTGACTAAACTGTTAAAAAATACCTTAATGATATATAAGCGTATTGTATTTCATATAAAAGAAATTTAATATCAGTACATTTTGACGGAATTTTTTCAAGCTTATGCATCTAAAGTATAGTACGTTAATGCCTCTAAAGTACAGTAAGTTAATACTTTGTGGTCAACCAAAGCCTATTAAAATTGAAGAAGAAAAACGCTGTGAAAACACTTTTAAAAACTCACGAATATCAAGTGTCATTTTGTAAATTTTAGCTAAAAATTGTATTAAATACAGTACTATAGTATCCTTTTACACCTACGAATTTGATAATGGGTTTAGCACATTTTCACACTGTAAACAAAAGCTTTGGCACTGATTTTAAATTCTACCTTTGCCAACGTTGCAAGAAGACATCTTTCTGGATCTTCTGTTTTCTCGTTGATAGTCGTGTCTAGGCTCTGTGAGTATTCTGAAACGAACACTCTCAGTATTGTAATAAAGGAAACCCAAAATAGTCAATCTTGTGTAATTCGGCATACTCTGGGAGACAAATCTTAGAAAGATTAAAAAAATTAGACAGGATTTTACAGTGGAAATTAAGAACATGTAAAATGGGAATGAAAATTAAGTTCGGACTTAGTAGTTAGTAGTAACACCGATTGCAAATGGTCGTATTGAAAATTTTTTCACTGTATCACAACACAATAGCCTACTCCAAAATCTGTTGGAAGTGGACAAATTTACAACTCAAGGTTCAAAATGTGTGTCCGCTAAAAGAGACCTCAATTATAAATTTTTTGTCTCAATATATACAAATTATCCACAAAAAAATAGTAATACAACTAAAAAAAATATTAAAATCGACCTTTTGCAATTCGTTTCTCTACGATTTTCGAACTTAATGTTCAATATCCTTTTACATGTGACAATATCCTTTTACAATTTCACATGTTCTTTCTACGTACTGTACATTTCGACAATCTTCCATTTCAAAACAAAATCGGTGCCCCAAGGCATGTCGTATTAGACGGGTTTCATTGTACTTTTACCAAACATGATACAAGAAAGTGACAGCAATGGCTCTGATTACTTTATTCATATTTGAGCAAGAAGAACATCTTAGTATGTGGATTCCTCTATATTGAAAACGATGACAACAAAATATTAATTTTCTCCCTTCACATTGATGATAAAAATTGTCATTTTACAAGCAGTCCTGGGTTTGTTTCTGTTGACCTTACCTTTGCGATAAGTATCTTTCAATTCTGTAAGGTCTGAATTCTTGCACGTAAAAAGGATTTCCACCGCTGTCGGATAATCTCCTTCCTGTAAAAAAAATGAAAATATATATGATAAATGTAAATGACTGAATTAAAGCATATTGTTACCCAGTTTTATAAATCTGTACTTTACTGATCTTATGATAACCGTGTTTCACTTGCATTTTGCCATTTTAACGATAATCGTGTTTTATGTGCTTGGGAAATATATTTTGATATATTTTGTTTTGTTTTTGAATGAAATTAAAAAAAAACACTTCAGAAATCTCTTTATTTTCAATCTAGGATATGAACATTGTAAAATGGTAGAAATTGTCTTAATAGCTGGAATAATGTTTGTTATTAATTTATATATATTTGTCGTGTGAAATAAAACGTTACCTCTAATGCATCATGGAGAACTTTAGCGGTGCCTATGGATTTGTTTTTCAGTAAAGCGTTAATCAAAGATTCCCAATCCTTTCCCAGACCCGACATAAGCTCTGTCGCCAAATCCTGAAAGATTAAAATGCTTCTTTAAAAAATAATGTCTTTCGCAAAACTTCTCAAATAAATACACACGATTGCACATTGTAAAAAAATACTTAAATACATTCTTGAGAAAGTAATAAATGTACTTTAAGTCAAACAGACGTGGCGGACTTTTTGGAGCCTTTTATTTCAATTTTGCTGCTATATATCAAGTCAACTTATGAATGAAATTAATTATTCTTAATTAAATGATAAAACGGCGTCAATATATCTAAACATTGAGCTGAAAAACAATGACTCTCATCTTCTCAGTAAAAGAGAGTAAATTGAATAAATTTTGCTTCATGGTAATACAGAAACAAATCGGCTAATATAGAAGCACAATAAGTGCTCATCGGATTTCAAAGAATTTGTTAGAAGACTTGGTCTCCGAAGACTATATACTTAAAAATTGTCACTGAGGAACTCCAGCATCCTTTTGATATGAAATTTAAAGTACTTGTGTGTAGAATCAGTTATTTTTTTATGATGTAATTATGTTGATGAACGTTCAGAAGATGTAAAAATTTCCGATTATAAAGAAGCAGCTGTATATGATATCAAAAGGCATTGTTTTTAATTTATCGCGAGAAATAGATGTTAACAGTGTAGATGAGTGACAACAGTAAGTTTTGATGTTATAGACTTTTGAAAAATTTGGTGATTTTAAAGTCTCTAAACGTTCTTTTAGAATGTTTGACTGTCCACATCTGATTTACACCACTTCTAGAATACGTTGTAGCATAACGATATGGAGGTTCTTTTTAACAGCAGTTAATATTTTGAGATGTAAAGTTAGGGGCTTGATAGAACATTAACATTTTGCTGGACCCGGCAATGTATCTTTGTTTGTAACGATTTTTATAAAGTTTAGGATTCCAGTATAGGTAGGGCAGATCTAACTGGTCTTGGTTGACTTGAATGTTGAAATGAATTAGAACCGGTGAGCCTTACAACCAAAGAAGATTGTTATCAGGCTTGACTGCTGGAACAATTGTTCAGGTTGTGAGTGTCTATTTAATTTTTCATCATCCCGATTCAGTGAAAACGTATGTAAAGATTGTTCACATTTTGCCTTTTAACTTATTTGTATTTCTAAAACATTTAATCCATTCTTACAAAGTATTCAGGTCTTTCTTTTCACATTATGCCGAACGTTTGGCATAGTACATGTATTCGACATAATTCATAATCAGGACTAAGGTAGCCACTGATATATTTGAAACAATGGACACTGGCATTTTGTAGTTACCCGGATGTATGTTTTATTTGTCTATACTGATGACTGCATCCTTAGATTCCTTACCAAACTGTACATTTCTTTAAACCTTTCGACGATCTGGGCCCGTTGACTTTGTGATCTTCGAACCAAGTTTCTTATGAAGACATCATCCGGTTGTGCTATTAATTATACAGAAAAGGGTGATAAAATGGTCTTGTTTTACATTTTCTTCAGTGGATAAAAGGTGATTTTGAATTCAAGAAGAGTTCATTATTGTCACTTTTTAACTATAGATTTTTTTCAAAATTCAAATCCCCTGTGATTATTCAAAGAAAAAATAACCTCTTTGAAATTAATTAATTCAAAAAGGGATCAAAATGCAAACGTACCTTATGTTATGCAAACACATGAACCGTTAATAGATAGTAAATTATCAAAACAGAAGTTGGAATTTTTCCTATTAAAAATAGTACTTTTAAGTTAAACATAACAGATAAATTTTGAGTCTTGAGCTCAGGTCTGCTGCATTTCATTTAAATGGATATTTGGGTCCAAACCGCTAGATAATTAGTATAAGAACCACAATTGGACCTAATTCACAACCAATGAATTTTCTTTCGGACAGAAGGGATGGATTGTAAAATGACTTAGAAAGAAAACAGTGTCCGAAAGATTGGAGGAATCAAGACGGGAGAAACCCTAAAACCTCACTGCAATCTTTGATAGTCAAAAACACGTATATTTCTAAATTTTTAATCAACATTTTGACTCTTACCAAGGCCTTTGGCAACCTTAAATAGTGCCTTGGCATCGTTGTCAGCCTGTGAACTGAAGTGTGATCTGTCCATACTGCTTCCATCGTCAGACTGTCAAAGGTAAGAATAAGAAGGTGAGTAAATACAATAACATTGTATTAGTTTTGTAATTTTTTCAAAATTTTCTGAAGAGAAAAATAATCTACAATGGCAAAATATCTCTCTGGATTTGCTTAGTTTGCTATATACGTTCGTGTTTTTGATTTCTTTCACAGAACAATTTTAGCTTATTTATTCAATATTCAACTTATTATTGAATACTACTAATATCTAATATGGCAAAACTGTCCTTTAACTAGGTTTGGCATATTTTAGCTTCGATCTTTTCTCAGCAAAATATTTCAATTGTTTTTCTTTGCATAAGCGGTCTTCATTTTCTCAACAACAACTTGAAATCTTGCGTTCGTTCAGTCCTCTTTCAACTTCTTTAAAATTTCTGTCTTTATCAACTTTTTATCCCCCGTAATCGAAGATTTGATCGGGGAAATATAGTTTTTGGTCTATGCATCTGTCTGTCTGTTTATCTCTTTGTCTCAAAACTTTATTCTTGTCCATAACATTTTAACGGCTGGTGCCATGCTTTCTGTTTCATAATTGAGTTGTTTATTCCCGTTGTCTTTTACTTTTTAACAATTTTCAATTGCCAATGAATGCATGACTAATTTAACAGTCATGTACTCATTGGCAATTGAAAATTGTTAATTAGGGAAAGACACTGGTAACAAGACCTTTCTTTTGAGAACCAACAGATTTGACCTTTTGACTTCGACCTTAGACTTAGAGTTTGACATTCATTTAAAAGCTTTATCCTTGTGCATAACTTTTTGAGCAGTTGGTAGTACGGTCTTTTTAATTTGAGATCACATGTGTATTTCTTGTGACAAAACCGTTCTTGGTGCATTTGCAAAAACTTTAGCTTTGCTTATAAATTATGAACATTTAATGGTAAGGCTTTTATATTTAAGTTATACATAATAATGATTATTTGTGGCACGGCTTTCCAATTTTTTTTTACTTTATGACCTTTGAATATGATCTATTTGAAAACATTAACAACCTCCATATTTTTGAATGGTTGTTGACTCCATAATTCACTTCTTACTCCTGGTAATAATGAAACATTTCTTTGGGTACCAACAGATGTGATCTTTTGACCTTGGACTTGTGCTCTCCTTTAAAGCTTAAACCTTGGTCTTAACTTCTGAGCAGTTGTGATAGGGCTTTCGTATTTCGCATGTAAATAACATTAAAACTTGTAACAAGACTTTTCTTTGTTACCAATCTTTTGAGTTTGACCTATATTTGCAAAAACGTTTGTCTTGCATATAAATAAAATATAAAAGTTATCTGTATATTTCTTGTAGTAAGACCTTACTTTTCTATCAATAATTTTTATCTCATGACCTTGGAGATCTGCTTTTGAAAAACTTTAACCTTTATCGTATTTTCTGAAAGTTTGGTATGATTTTCACATTTTATGTGTACAATTCTTGCGATGTAACATTTCTTTGACATTTTATTCTAGCTTGACCTTGAAGTTTGACCTACATTTGAAAAAAAATTAATCATAGTCTTGATCTGTCATACGAGGACAATGCAAAATTTATCCGTTTTTTTTTCAAAGTATCCCTGTGACAATAGGGATAAATAAGGCAAAAATAAAACGGAGCGAAAGTATCCAGCATACAAATCTCTTTCAATTATAATTTCATAAATCTTAACATTCTTTTGTAAGACATGTCAGAAAAAAATTCACCTTATCAACGATAAGGGAACATTCATGCAATTGTGATAAATTGATACTAGTAATGTGTTGGATTGAACAAACAAATGCTTATGTTTCAACCAGCACTCTTCGGTTAATTTACAACTTTTTTTCATATGAAAAATTTCGAAAACGTTCATCATAGTTTTGCTTGTGAAAAAAGAATATTGATACGATTTTTAATTGCAATAGTGTTTTATGCACAATAATGTTCATTTGCCATGCTATGCGCTTGCTTACAACTCTCTCATCAGATCAGAAAATAAGCTTTATATTGGAACATAATCGATTGGAAAAATATTTGCTTTGAATGTTGATTATACTGTTTTGTTTTTGTAACTTGTAGATTGTTTATTTATACGCAGAAATTGTAAAATTAGAGTAAAACGTATGTGGCTAAGCCCAAGACTGAACCAAAACAACGTTTTTCCATTTGGAAAAATTTCTAAAGTATTCAATGCATGTACATCTTAAGTTAACAAGTTTGTTAGTTCCACCTATTTTTAGGGTTGTGTCAAGATAAAGTACATGTAATTCCAACTTTAAAATTGGCAGATTACCATTTTCAACTTTAAAGATTGCCTTTCCAACTTAAAAGCTGGTACTGATAAATCCAAATATAATCCTGACTTTTCTAACTATAATTCTGTTTTTTTTTTCCTCAAACTTTCAAGTTGGCTTTTCTAACAATAAAGTTGGTAATTCCAAAGAAAAGGTCTTTTTTTAACCTTTCAGCGACTCTGTCTTCGAAACCTAACTGTAAGAAGCATAATTTCAGGCATATTAAGTAAAGAAATTTTCGAAATCAGCAGTACCGAAAATTGTCCCTTGCAATGATGATAACATTTTTGTTATGTCAAAAATCAATATCTTATTCTCTCCTGAATCTAAAATTTAGTATCCTCTTAGAAAGACCCTGAGTGTCAAGCGTAGGACAAAATTTGCAGCTCTCCGCCGACAAGTGATGGCGTCTCCATACGAGTGAAAAATTCTCGATAGGGACGTTAAACAACATACAATCAATCAATATATATACATGTAGCAAAATTTTGAAACGTAAAAATTAATCAACACCATTTTGACCCGAATTCGCAAAATAAAATCGACGTAAATATTTCCAGATTTACGGTATATAGAAGGAAATATTTCAAGTACAAATTCTGTTTCTGTGCTTTTACAATAGGCAGCTTACCTTTTTCCGGTCCTCAAGTAGAGTTTAATACGACAAAGACTTCATTCAATATCCCAAACACAGATAAGAGATTTACGACTGTTACGTCATTTTACAAAAGGTTTGATTATAACTTGATTGCAACAGATTTTATTACTTGATTGCAGTAACTAGAAATATGAGTACTAGTATGTAATAATTATACTGAGCAAATATACACGGACAAGCAGGCAATTCCTATACTGTACAATGTACAAGGCATATTAAAAGGAGCATATCAGAAGACATTGAAATAAGCGGCTAATAAATTTATTTTCCTACCAAGAACAGTGCATAGTTAAAATTTATAGATGTAAAGAAAACAAGATGACAATACTGAATCATAATAAAATATATGGTCTGAGCAAAACAATCTTAGATTGACAACATTAGATAATATTTGTAAATTGCAATATTATTGTAAAATTAATAAAGTATTATACAACAATAACATAAATGGTTATTTTCAAACGCATGACTGCTAGTTAGATAAATACAAATATGGTAATAACAGCTACATAACATAAAAAAAATTACTTCGTGGGTTTTTCACACAGTCACGTGATACTCGTGATGATGAAATACAAAGAAGTGAGTGAGAATTAAATTATTTTCGAGATTCTTAATTGGTTTTGCGTCTGTAAAATCGAAATTTTGCAACATGTCTGTGAATAAATGTGTGATAATGGCGTATTTAAAAGACAATGGTCTGCAACCAAAAAAATATAATTTTCTGGATTTAAGAAAACATCTACAAGTATTCGAAAAATTCCCCATTGTGATGGCTATCATTAAATTTTTTTTTTTTAATTTCAAAGTTTACATTCCCTTGCCCTCTTTGTTAAGGAGTTTCCATTACAACAAATTTACTTTTGTGAATGTGGTTTTTCCACACGAAAAAGATATGTTCCGATTAATAGAATGGTTCAACGAGGACATGTACACAAGTGTTCTATATAAAATCGAAATATACAGCCATGCAGCGTTACATTGACTACCATTCTATATGTCTTACAGGTTGACAACAATAATAAATTGAACTTAAAAGAGATTCTATTTATTATTTAACCGGAAGAAAACTTCCAATATCAGAAATTAACATTTTTAAAGTTAAAACAAACGATTAAAAAATAGCAATGGGTTGCTTGGTCCTGATATATGGAATGAATTAACTTTTCATGCCTATGGATCTCCCTCTGAATTTTTCATGACTAGAAGTGTGCGTGAATTTTTAAAATATCAACTTTTCATTAAAATGTACACGTGAGTTGTGCCATTTTTGCACATTGAAAACAGTGAGGTTTCACTAAATACCTGCAGGGAGTATGCGGACCTGGGGCGTCGGCCATAGTACATTTGATACAGATTTCTCATTTTCGTCTTGAAAGGGAATTACATATTATTTATTAATGAGTATTACATTTACAATAACATCACAAAATTAAACTACCAGAAGCATACAAACAGAAAAAAAAAATGTAAAATTAGAAAATGTCAACAGATGATATTTTTTGTAAATATATAAATATATATCTCTAGGTACAATCCAGCTCACCCTCTAATGATAAAGCTGCTGGCAGTTAACAAGCAGAACTTAAAGAAATCAAGCTGTCAAGAAAAAACTTTCCCATCTATATCAACAGCAAAGAAAGTACAAATATGCTTTTTAAAAAAGTGTTGCATGAGTATCAAATTGTGTATTTATTCAGCAAAAGTGTCCCATAATTCCACGTGTGAAATATATTTTTCCGGAAATCTTCTTCCTTCTCCAAGATTTTCATTCCAGTCCCCAAACCATCAACTACATACCCCTTTTTTAAATATCCAAAAGTCTAGCGGGGATTTTGGATTGTTTCTAGAAATAATTGGATTAGGTAAAAAATCAATTAGTATGTCAGTTTAGAATATATATGTGCTTATTACCAAACAAAAAAGAGATTATATTATTTGTTATATAAAGCTATAGTTTGAAAATCACTTTAATAGAATTAAAATTTTAAACTCAATATATCTATATATCTTAAAATATGCATAATCAATGTAGTTTGAATTATTATTAATTTCTGTGTGAATTAATTTAAACACAACTTTTAAAAAGCAATAAAAGGAATACTGAAAACAAATGATCTAGGATTCAACATCACAAGCAAATGAAGCAACAAGCATAAAGCTATTACAGTAGAGCCTAGTTAAACTGGTCCCCAATAAATCAGACTCTTCATTATTTGAACAAAATTTGTGTGAAGAGAATTTCAAAATATCTACCAATGAGAAATAAAGGTTCAGCCAGACCTTGTTATATCAAATCCATGAAAAAAAGATAGATGTTTGAGATTTCAGGGGTAAATTCATATGGGATTGGGACTTCCAAATAACTTCCATATATCCATGGTATATGGGAGAAACAGGTTCTGAGATATGGAAGTTCAACTGTATGTTTCAATAATACTTCATTATTGCTTCAATATTGTGGATCATTTATTCTGGAACCGAAGGAATCAGATTAATAAGGCTCTACTGTAGTTGGCTACTTACAAACCTAATGGACAAATAAAAGCTAAATATTAAGAAGCTGTGTAGCTACCTTTCTCTCTTTGTCACCATTATCACTCCTTGTGCTTCGCTGCGTGTCTGGGCCATTATATCTTATAGTCTACAGGAAAAATACAATTTAAATTGCAAAAAAAGTGCTGGCTTCATGTTGGTAATATACTGTGTATAGGATTTTGTTTTAAAATGCAAAATAAAAATTTGACTAAATTCATTTGTTTGTACTCTAATATTTTGTTAGTAAACTAAAGGCATTACTGACAAATCTACACAACATATTGCAATTTTATTATGTAAAATAAAGCTTTTTTTAGTGAAGAGATGGAGAAAAACCCAAAAATGAATTTGAAAATTAAAATTTAAATAAAATTGTATATTTGTATTATATAAAATGACACCAGCAAAAACAGGCTAATAAATCAAGTTCTGTTGACTGTAATCAATCAATCATTTTACTTTATAGATACTGTACATGGCTTGCAAATTTTGAAGCATTTATATTAAGGTGTGTGAAAATTCTGATTTTTCTAGTGTAAGGCATAGGTGCATTTGAAATTTTAAAAAGAAACAAAAAAAAAAAAAAAAAAAAGGAAAAAAACTATAATAATAATTAAAGCAAAACATAAAATAATTAAGCTTTAGGAAATGGATTTCATCCTTAAAATGTGACATAAAATGTAAGTCTCTTTTAATTTGGTAGACTTAATATATTCAGCTATGATAATTAATAAAACAAAATGCAAAGTACAAAAACAAACAAGGGAAAAATCCATATTTCTTGTTAATTATTGCAAACAGTATATTGTACAAATTTTACCTTTAAGCAAACAAAATAATTAAAAAGCAGTTAGAATCAAGCTTATCCCATTTGCTAATTGAAAAACATATAATTTTATTGTGAAATCAATATCCTTCCCAGGGGGTTCTATTTTTCCAATTTGTAATATTGTTTTCTCTTAGAAAAAATGTAAAAATTTTCACATGGTCTAATACCAGTAAAATTTTCGTGAAATTATATAAAATTAACAAATACTCATGGAGAAATGATTTCACAGTCCATATAAAGCTTTGCAATACAAAATGTATAAGCATTCTTTATTTTTTAAGCCAATGTTGAATGCAGTACCTGAGGTTCACTGTTTTTCCCCTGTAATGAAGATCTGCTATGATTAAAATGATCTGGACCCATGAGAGAGAATAAATTGAGAGAAGAGCTCAAGGAATATATATGATATGAAGGAATAAACAGAGATTGGGGGCCTTCATGATGAATTCTTTACAAATAGAAATGAAAAATTGGAGGAAAAAATGATCGTTGAAAATTTAATCTAAATAATAGAAGAACGTAATGTCATCCTAAAATATCAAAAATGAAATATATTAGACAAACCAGAAAAAGTGTTCAGCCAAGTTTCTTTTTACATGTATTAGGTTTAGGGAAAAACAATTACAGAAGTTATCTCTCTTTGTCCATACTTTCTCTCATACTTATATATTTATCTACTTCAGTTCTAACCTTGAATTTTTCACAGCCCTAATCTTGTTGGCAAAAGGAATCAAAAATGGCATTTGCCAAACATATCATGCCACAGATTTTTAATAATCAAATACAAAAAAATGAACAGGATAATGCAAAATTGTTGTTAAAAAATTGTCGATTTTCATAAAGATGAACAGATGATCAAACTTGCAGATGGGCAGAAACATACAGCTTGACTTCTACCCTGCTCATACAAATTCCTGTAGAGCCAGCTATATTAATGGATAAAATTAGAGGGATAAGAAATAATTTGGTAAATGCAGAATAATGGAGGAGTAACCCCTAAGGGATTTGCCGAAAAATATAGTCCCCATTTGGATGGAATTTTATACATACAATGGGAGGTAAAGCATCCTTCTTTCCCTCTTCTCCATTGTTAGCTTTCTCCTCTCTTTCTTTGGCGAGTTCTGCCTCTTTTATTTTCTGTAATATACATACATTGCATTTACCATAAGTACACATGTATATGTACTGTAAATATACAATCATAAATAATTAGCACACTAAAAATTGGGCAAAATTCTTAATAAATAATTAACACTTCATAAATTAGCACATTTAGAGCCAATTATATAACTTCAATATGTTTTTATTTAGTCAAACATGTATATTAAAATGCACTTAAACATTGGAAGTAGCATGATCGAAAGGCTCTAAATATGAAATTAAAGACTAAAATACATGAAAGTGTGTTCTACCATAATTCTAATTAATTTATAAAATTAAACTCATTAAGAAGAACATAAATTCTCTTTCATTTTTAAATATTATTTCTATTTTTAATCTATCACATAAAAAAATTTTTCACTAGTTGCTATTACACACTCACTCTCAGCTGTCTATATCTTTGGTGTCTAGGAATGACCATGTCAAAATCTTTGGCATTTTCATTCCACAACATCTGTAGGTACTTCTTCTGCTGGTACTCCTCCTCCTTAATATCCAAAATGTTAATCAATTATTAATTAAGAGAGAACATTTTGGAAATAAAATGATAATTTTTAAAAAGAGCATCCTAACATGTCAATTAGTTATTTACCTTCAATCTCTAAATTTTTAATTTCTTTTTTCTGCTTAATTATTTCTTTTTAATTAAAACATCCAAATATTTTGATTTTTTTAGTTCTAAGATACATAAGTCAAAATAATAAATAAATGTATATTTTTAAAAAAGAAAATTATTTTTTGTGACAGTTAACACCCCTACCATTTCGTCTGTTCTGATCACCGGTCGTGTGTGCTCTAACCGCTTGGCCAGTCCGATGTTCTCCATCTGGATATCACGAAGTTGCCTTTCTCTCAATGGAAGGTTAAGACTAATAAATAATAGTTTTGGAGTTAAAATTTGTAAAATTCATTCTATATCTCTAAGATAGTGACCAATTAATGGGTGAGAAATACATGTACTTTACTGTACATACAACAGAACTCTTTTGTTTTAAGAGATATTTTTTTTTAAATTGTTTTATTTAGGATATTGTTGAATATAAACAGGTATATGTCATATAATGTTGAAGTGCAGTAAGATTTTAGCATTTTAACCCCTTGTCCCAAGCCTACCAGAGGCCCTACCCAAAAAGGTTTTTTACCTGAAATTTATTCATGTGACCTATATTGCACCCATATTAAAAAAACATAAGGTTTTAGAAGGATTTCCATTCTCAAGTGTCAAAAGTTCCACTGTTGATCATAATGCCACTAAGCATCCATTAAACATATGCTTTAAGCGTGATGTACAAATTTTACTGGATGGGTGATCAAGTGACAGCTTTTAAATACTGCATATGACTTTTTCTGGATTAATGGTAAAGTGACAGTTGTTAGACCTAGTTAGTTAATCATAAAGTATATATTGAAGGCATGTTTTGTATGGAAAGGATTTCAACTTGTAATGGATACCAGTTTGCTTTGGATGCTTTCTATTTATTATACATGTACAGTATTTTTCCAACCGAATTATCTGAGCAAAATCTTTATTAAAGAGAATTATTTCCCAAAGTGATAATGAGCCATTAAATAATTATCAATACTTTACTTCTTGCATAGTTTCACTGAGAGATACATAGATCATATTTCAAATGCTATATGCTAGCAACCATCAATTTACAGCTGAAACGTACATCAGATTATCTTTTTCAGGAGCATATGATACATGTACTCACGATATCTAATATGATTCTATACTACATATAAGTTCTGGTCAGGCAGGTTTAATCAAAGCTCCATTGGTAGTGCACCTGAGTAGTGATTTAGGGAGCCCAGGTTCAAATCCTAATCATCTTTCTCTCGATCATCGTGACATATACACATAGAATTGACACGTCCATGATGGTCATATTACCATTGACTTATTTAATCTGGACACCACTGAGTCTGATTCCAAACAAATTGGTCCAGATTAGACAACTATTGAATTTATGCACAGGAGCATATTAGGTAGGATTTTAGATTACACAAGATCCAGAGTAGACAAGTTTCACTGTACATGTATATCTAATTCAATTATAAGACATGAACTTTGGAGGATCCTTGTATAAGAATTCGAGCTTTTAGTGAATTTAGACTCATCCTTTTCAAATTGCATAAAGTTTATTTCCCAGGTGCTCAGAAATAAAAAAAAAGAATTTTTTTAGAGATACATTGTAATTGGTGTGATTGATATATATAGGACACATGTCATGATTCCTAATGTGTTAGAGTGTTTAACTTACTGATTGTTCAGGAATATTAAATTATTTATATAAGCTTTTCAAAGATACACATGCTCAAAATTAAATTTTCAAAGTACACTCCATCAGAATCTGAACCAACTGGGCATGAATTTTACAATTTTTGGTAGACCTGGACTTGCTTTTTTTATTATCATATACCTAAACAGTTTGCCAGCAAAATATATTGCACACATCTAAACCTATATAAACTGTAATGCCAGTAGAAGATCCCTCCCCCCTTCCCAGAAACTATTCCTGGATCTGAACAAGAATTAATTTTACAAGGTATTGTACAACTAGCTACAAGTATTCAGAACTCAATTATTAATCAAATAACACTAGATACATCTACTTCGGAGATAATTATATAATGAAACATTCAATAGCATTGTTTTTCTATTGGGATGCTATTGTGTTTACTATAATATGACACATGGCCCTCTTCCCAACAGATTTACGTACTATAAATATTTTTCTAAATAACAATCCCGCTTTATTAAATATGGATAAAAAATTACATATTGATCATATCACAATGGGGTCACGTTTGCTCCGGAGGGATCAATTTTTGTCAAAATGGATTTAAATCATTAATGGGCTAATGAGAAAAATCCTGTCCCAGAAGCCGCCTTATATAGGCTCATTTGTTTTATTGATCTAGCTGTTTAGAAAAAGTTTCTTTGAGGAATGGATGTTGTCACTCATCAATGAGTTTGTTGATTAAGAGAGATTATTTATGATGACAAGATCATAAATCTTTGTTTTATGTTGTTTGAGATCTTGGTATAATTGTTTTAAACTCTATCTGATGAACATAACTAGCAAAGATTGTGTATAATCAAAGTACTGAAACTGTACCAAGGGTGGGGTCAAATCAATAAACTTCAATTTTTAGAGTTTTTGATATTTACTTCAAAAATTTGAAATGTAGAATTCAAGTGAAATTAAAAAAAAAACATTGTAGCAAAATATTTGCATTCACTCTTTCTTAGAATCTTTACCCTTGACCAAAGTTAATGAAGCCCAACCTCATCTCAAATTTACCCAAGTAAAGAAGTGGTTACATATGGTCTACCATTATGCAACCATTTTGGTGGTGGTGGTGGAGGGGGGGGTCAATCAGTTAACTAAGACAGAAAGAAAACTGCAAACCTTTTTGACTGGTATTCATTCCAGGAATCTACTTTGGCTGGCTCCTTCATGATCTTTGTCATCTTCTGTAGAAGCAGACGGTTTTCATGGTCGACCTCTGCCTGACGTTCCTCCTCCAACTAAAAAATAAATCATCAATTTTGTATTAAACAACTGGGGTAAGGTTAAGAACTGTTACAGTTATGTAGTCTGTGTATCTAGCATCGATGGCTAGTTTAGCAGATAAATTCTATTAAGAAGCCATTATAAACATTTTACATTGTACTTTTTTTGCTGCTTATAATAAAATCTATGCTGACCCAAGCACTGATGACTGATGTTATCCAAATTAGAAAACTTCATACATTAATCTGTTTGCTAATAATATAACACTGATATCTCGATTCTCGAATACTATAGCTATGTCAAAATGAGTTCAAAGTTCCTTTCATTTTTTTCTTTATGTACTTTTAGTTTAACCTGGATATCACAAATCTGCAATATCCTGAAATTTTTTCTCAAGCCCATGAACTTTGAGAAAACATGGTTTGACTGTAGCAGAAAAATCTATCCCTGAAGAATCCTATCTTACTAAACCTACCTGAATTTTCTTTAATTGGAGAATTAGATGAGGATGTTTTTGTGGTTTTTTATTATTCACAGTAGGTCTAGAACCATGCACCTGAAAATAAAAAAAAAGATTCTTAAAACATATGCTTCAAACGCTTTCAATCTTGACATAAATTAATACATCAAAAAATAATCCTTGATATTTCTTGGTGTTATTTGAATTTTCCCTCACCAACTTGCCCCTCTAATTAAAAATGAAAATTCTGAAGCTTTATTGCACATGCAAGACACCATCAAACGCATTCTAATATACATAATATACATATGTGACATAGTCACTCTGCATAAAATGTGAAAGCTAGCCTAGCTAGGAGTTCTTGGAATTAGGTTTTTGGTAAAGAAATTGTTTTCAGGCTCAAATGGAACCAGAAATCTACCTTAAACATCTTCATGACACAACAAATCAGTTTCCAAAAGATATAAATTGGCTTAAAATAAAAGAGAAGAGGAAGAAGATATGAAAGACAAACAGACAGACTGAGGATATCAACAATAATATACCCAAACCTTCTCTATAAAGTGTGGGTAATTCACGATACACGTACTGTATGTATTTAATACAGGTCTTGATCGGTGAAACTCTAAATGTATTTTGAACTTTCAGGTAATTAATTTCCTATTCAAGAGACATTTGATGACTTAATGTTGAAATTCAATCTAATTCAGTCAAGAATAGTGAAAGCATGAGATTTTTTAAGACTTTTAATAACCTGCACTTGTTTGAATTTGAATTAGCTGTAATTGGTTGTGACACCCTGTAGGGGGGTTCCCTAAGTGGTAGATATGTAGGTGTCAATGAATTCAGAAATCAAAAAAGTTTCAAGATGTTTGAATAGGATTTTCATTTCTTTAAAAGACTTCACGCTTGACTGATTATTAACCTATTATGAATGCCTAATGCCCCAAACTGAAATTTAGAAAAAATTGTTTTTCTTACTGATTAGAAAAGTCTGCGTCAATTTCTTTTATTTACTTCTTTGTATTTGTTTGTTGATAGTGGAATTACAATTCTATTTTAACAAGTTTAAAACCCAGCTTGGTGTTCATTTTCAATTATCTTTTTGCAGAAATTGTTTGTTAGGAACTTTAAAGCCATTTGAATAATTTGAATAATACACATACATCTCTGTAAGAAACTTTTTTTCTATTTTCTTTCTTTATATTAAACTAGCACAGCAGGTATACACTAGCTGCGTAAAACTTAATACTAGCTGATATAAAATTAAGTATTGATCTTGAAATAAAACACCTTTTTAATATCTGAATCCATGAATTTTAGATTGAAGAAGTGTAACATTAGGCGAGAGAGAAGTGGTGGGGGGGGGGGGGGGGTATTGCCAGTTCTGATTACTTTCTTGTACCCCTTCCACCCCAATCCCCTTGGGACCTGACTTATTTTTTACCTTTGGTCTATGGGGTCAGTAAGCATGATTCTGCTTATACAGTACAGTGTACTTATATGGACCAGAGACATGATTTTTGGGGGAGTTACAAATTTCTGATACCCCCCTCCACAACTCGCACATCAATCCCCATCCTTTACCTTAAATTCTGCCTGTGGAGTCTATAAGCAAGGTCCTGCTTATACTTATAAAGGATTTTATTTGCCACAGAAAACCCTGTTCAAGACATGATTTGGTATTATTCATTCCTAACTGTTTGTTTTTAAACCCCCTTCCCCCACCCCATGTATTGTTTTTTTTTTTTTTACCTTTTGCCTGTGGAGTCTATAAGCACGGTCCTGCTCATACTTAAATAGGATTTTATTGGCCACGGGAAACCCCGGCCCAGGCATGATTTCTCTGCTGGATGTCGGACTTCTTCAAGTTCTGTCTATGAATAATACATGGTTTAATCCTGCAATAACAGACAATAAAAAACTCAAATTAAATATTCATTCACAGTAGTCTGAATAAAACTGGATCACAAAGAATGACAAATGCATGATCACTTCGTTTTAAATGAAAGAATTACATACCATCCTTTTTATAATGAATATGTATTTGTAGAAGGAATTTAATATATTTAAAAAACAGTTTCATGAATTTTAATCAAAACTTTATGATTAAAAAGATATTTTTTTACTGTAATAAATAAATACTGTGATTTATAACTATACATCTAAAAATATTGTTTTAAACAATAAACATACAAAAAAGCCCCCCCCCCCTCCTCTCATTCTCCCAAAAATATATATTTATCTATCTATCCAAATTATAGAAATCTGAAAAATGATTAATTGTAAAAATAAAATGTCTGATCTTAAGGATTGGTGAAGGAGTGAACTTTTTAAAAAGAAAACATTAAAACTTTTTGTATTGATCCTAGTATCACTTTGTCAATAAATTAATAATATACATGTATGCAAGTTGTACACCCTTTTGGAAAACATAAATCCTATTTGAAATTAATTTTTAACAGAAAATGAGAATATTTACAAAATGTGATAAAATATTCATTGGACTATTTTCCATGTTTCTATACTGGTTTGATACATTGAGTAAGATAACTTTACCATTGACACATAAATTTGAAACAGATAAATCACATTTAATCGAGTTATTGTAATTTAAAAAAATCTTGAAGTACCTAAATGAGCGAACGCTGTACTTTTACAATACATACATGTACACTTATAGATTGCCTATACATTCTACCTTATTTAATCCATGGCTATTTTTAACTCAAATGTGTACGTTTCTTGACACAGTCTTGTATATTTCCTTTAATGATCAAAGATCTATACCCAGATATAGAAATTCTATAACGATCGAGACAGAACTAGAAGACAAAAATCAGGAATTGTCTACATTACCTCTAAATGGTTGTATAAGAACATTTCCACGACTGCTACCTCAAAAAATAACAAGCGGATGTCATTCCGCTTAAATGTCTCGATTGATCGCAAACATGAAAATACCAAACTGTTCCAAGAGATTAAATTTAATCTATCACACATATATTTCTACCTGTGTACACCGTTAGCGCGCCAGCGCCATAGAGACGGGTCATTAGACCGGTGGAGAATAGACAAGCAACAAATTGATCTCCGACCATTTAACTGCCAGTTGATCTCTTCTTTCACTCCTGGAACACGCAACAATTTCCTGCCATCACTCCAGAATCCGTAATATTTAGGGCGGATCTAGATATTTTTGGACATTTTATTTGCTATGCACTCCGGAATGGCAGCGCGGATTAACCGATCGCGTCATCCTGCAAATATGCAATGCAAAAGACAAATACTATAGCAGCTGAGTTTTTAGTTCAATTAAAAGATTATCGACTTTTTTTGGATTACTTCATTAATTAAAAAGCTGATCCCTAAAACGAATGGATCACGAGAACTTGCGATTTGCATATCGGGCTAAATTAATATAAAATATCATTAAATTTTAAAAATTTTAATTGTATTCTAAGTACTAGAGTATCTTATATGTTTATCTCTACATTTTGTGCTTACTATAAATTAATATGTACGATCTCTTTCGAAAGATTTTATTTTCTCTTAAAAATATGCATTTTCAGAATATCATCGAGTAAAGAGAAAGAATGATTGGAGGAAGGGGGGGGGGGGGGTAAATTAAACTGTTTTCTCCCAGTGGAGAGATTCTAGCGCTTTGACCAATCTTTAATTTCTTTCAAGATAGCAGTGTAAAGATGGTCTTCGGATCACATTTTGAAACATTTATATTTTTTTTTATTTCATTGGTTTTCAACTTGCTGAGTACGAGGGCGGATCTAGTTCCAAGTACTGCAGCTAGGGCGGATACAGAATTTTGACTATTTAAAGCGGGGACTATCCCCCGGTATACAAAAGAAGCCCAATCTGATATTTCTTGTCGACAAGAAAAAAAAATCTAAAGTGTATAACATTCTGAAATGAGAGGGATGGGGGGATAACTATGTGACCATTTCATCTTCCAAGGATTCGGTGATCCAGTCACAGTGACGAGGTTTGGGGATGTTAAAGGTATACTACTAATCTATGTCATCCGTTTGATTAATCTCTGGTAGCCCACCTCCTCCCTTCACCCTCCTCTGGGTCCGCTACTGGTGTTTGACAACTTATCAGGAACACTGGAAGCATTTAATATATACTTACATATATACGTACATATACATAATTATAGCACAAACGATCGAAGACATTTCAATATACACGTCACAATGATATGCACTTGATTCTATAAATATATTTTATTTATAACCCATACATGTAGTACGAAAGCCCAATAGGCTCATTTTCGTAGGTTAAAAAAAAAATTTCGCGTTATAACGCGAAACTTTCGCGAATAAACGCGTAACTTTCGCGTTATAACGCGAAAAAAAATATTTTTTTTAACCTAAGAAAATGAGCCTAATGGGCTTTCGTACTACATGTAGTATATAAAATAAAAAAAAAACCTACGTGCCTCTTTCTTTTCTTCTACGTTTGGGGAAACATCATGCCAAAAAAAAAATTGTTATTATGTAACAGGGTAAGACATGTAGCCCTTTCAAAATAGTTCGAAGGTAATGAACATGTAATTCAAACAATAAAAGTAGGAATGAAGAAACTCGCATCATGCACCGCATAAAGGGCGACAACTCTTTAAAGACACACGCAGTGTATTTTTTCGTTCTTTCTTATTCTCTGTATAATCTAAGATTTCCAACAATGGAAGGACATGAAGGAGCTTTGTACAGTTTTAATATGCATAATACATGTAATAGCTATAGATAATCACATTTATAAATAATTTGCATAAAATCGCATTTCATAACGTTCTAGCAAACGTGTCATACTTTCGTTGATAAACTAAAGGGGAAAGGGATTTTTAGAATAAAAGTCAAATGAATAAAAATTAGAAAAATGTGAAAATATCTGTTTGGAGGGAGGGGGATAGCACTCTATCATTAAAAATCACATGACGCGTGCCTCCTCCGGTATAAAGCCGTAATGCAAGTTTGTTTTTTGTTCGTTTGTTTGTTTTAAATTTTTTTTGTGTATAGAACTGTGTATAATCATTTAAAAGAATCATTTAAATCAAGATTACAAATTTAATAGTCATTAATTATGGGTCAATCTTAAACCGGCTTTATTTTCACTCATATAATACAGAATTAAATTAGGAACGTGATAAACTACTATGGAAGGGAATTACCGCCAAAAGTCTATGTATCTTGCTTTTATTCTTATTCTGCCTACTTCTTTATGCTTTGTTATTATTGTAATTATATGTCACTTTATTGTTTTCGTATTCGTCTTTATTACATTACACTTGAGCTTTTATCGTTCTTTATTTTGTCCTTACTTCTATGTTGCTTTATTCTTGTGAATACACTCTACTTTCTTTTAAGTTGATACTGTTTCTTAAATAAACTATCTTGATTATCTCGATTACGAACGTAAATTCAATCATGTAAAAAATGCCACCTAGCGTTATAATGCGGCACTAAATTCAATGAGGACGAATGCAAATTGTCAGAATTTAGTGCCGCATTATAACGCTAGGTGGCAGGGTGTTCGCTATTCGAGTGTTGGTAAAACTAGGTAAGCAAACCCGGGCCGGGGTTATTAAAGATTTTTCAATTTTCTGCCTTAATACTTTATCAATCGAACTTAAATTTTCAAATGTTTTTTTATAAATTCAGGTATGTACCAGATAATGCCATTTCCTCGGAAGATGGTAAGATTTTCCCTGGAAGACTGACTACATTGTGATGCTTCCTTCGGAAGACTATACAGTGAGACTCCCCCCGGGGAAGTGTCAATATGTAGCTAGCCTTCCGTGGGAAATCTGGCTGTATATAGCAATTTGTCCCCCTTCATAGCAACCCCTCCCCCGAATATTTTTTTAATCGTAAAACAATGTTTATATGCTAACGTTTTCAGTTTTTGAAGAAAAGTTATCCGTCCCATATGAATAAATGTTTAAATGAAACCATTTTAATAGTGGTTAATAATTAAATTATTTTAACCATTTATTTTGACATAGATAATCTTCACGAGTACAAATGGGTAATGAATCCCCCCCCCCCGGTCCCGTGGATGCCCCTCCCCCCGGGTGCAATCGCCCGCGTAACTGTCGTTACGTTTGCCCCCCGGTTCCGACGCCTATGCAATGTAGTCAATTAACATATTAATAAACATGTACTTAGTGGCATATGTACATATGAGTAATATTTGGTACTGAAAACAAGTTGACGAACCCCCCGCCACTTCACCACCACCAAATACAGAATTTTCAAGTTTTAAGATTTTTTGAAACTCTACTGGCTGATGTAAAATACGTTGCGTTCTAAAGATATTTTTTTCTTTATTAAAAAGTGCTATTTCAATGTAAAATATTAATGCATAAAAAAGACTGGGGAGTTTCTAGTATGCCTAAGGTGTTCCCTGGTTCCGACTTTGCCTACCCATAACACTTCTCACTCCTTTGCAAAGACCCGTCCCTAGAATCACACGCATGAGCAATTACTATCTGTCGTGAAATAAAGTTCAGTTCAGTGGAACCAGTGACGTATTTAAGGAGGTGGCGCACCCGGCGCCCCCCCCCCCCTTAAATTGTCAAAGTAAACATAAATCACAATCTCGTCTAGAAAATGTAAATATGCCTACTTGGTAGATCTAATTTTTACTCTACAAAATCTCTAGAACCCAGGAGCTTCCGGGGGTCTCGCCTCCTGAGCCCCCACCAGGGCTTTGCCCTTGACCCACTGGGGGCCTCAAGGCGGCCCCCAGACACCTTGCTTACTTTTGGCGCCCCATCTAACTTCATTTCCTAGATCCACGCCTGGGAACGTCCTGAAAAACAACTCAATTTATAAATTTATAAAGGGGTATCTAGTATCAAAATATTTAACATTATTATGTCAATTAAACTGTTATACTGGAATTCAATTATCCAACAAATAACTTTAGTAGAGTGATATTTTTCAGGCGAGAGAACTGTGACGTAGCATCGATTTTGAAAATTCAAGCTATCCGCTGAAAACAACTTGACAAGCAAAAAAAAAAAAAAAAACAAAAAAAAAACAAAAAAAAAAAAAAAAAAAAAAAAAAAAACCCAGGAAATTTCTAAACTTGAATATACATAGGCGTCGATCGGAACCGGGGAGAGGGCTTAGCCCCCACTTTTTTCCAAAGTTAAACTTAGTATAGACATTGAATATTACTGCGTAGGTTTAGCCCCCCCCCCACTTTCCATGGACACGATGCAGTAGGCCTATAGGTTTAAAATGTGGAAAGTGGTGGTGTTTTGAACAAAAAATTGGCACTGTAATTTGACACCCATCACACCACACACACACGAAATAGGATTTTGTGTTTGGACAAAGAACATTTCTCTCTCTCTCTCTCTCTCTCTCTTTTTATTTTGCTTGTCATGTTTTTTTTTTGAAGGTCTAAAAAATATTTCTTATACCCCCCCGGCCCCAATTTTCACTTTGCTTCCGACGCCAATGAAATCATATTAAGGGGGCGGTGTGGGTTTTGGGTTAAATTCAACTTCATATATAGTATCAAATTTAAATATACTATACTACATTAACCTTATTTGACCCAAGTGGGTCGGACTTTTAATGAACATTACCGGTATGTAAAGTTATGTCTGAAAAAAAGAGGCCGCTATTCCTGTGTGCCCAGAGAAAATAAATATTATATGGAGTTTCCATCATTGTATCGGGTGATCGGATTCGGCCTTCAGATATTCGATTGAATAAGTATTAAGGCAGAAAATTGAAAAATCTTAAATAACCCCGGCCCGGGTTTGCTGACCTAGTTTTACCAACACTCGTAGCGAACACCCCTGCCACCTAGCGTTATAATGCGGCACTAAATTTTGACAACTTGTATTCGTCTTCATTGAATATGCTTCATTCTTTGTGTGATTGAATTCACGTATGTAATTGGGATAATCATTTAAGAAACTGCATCGATTTAAAAGGAAGTAAAATGAATAAAGCAACATAGAAGTAAGGGCAAAATGAAGAAGGATAAAAGTCAAAGTGAAATGTAATAAAGACGAATACGAAAACAATAAAGTGACATATAATTACAATAATAACAAAGCATAAAGAAGTAGGCAGAATAAGAATAAAAGCAAGATACATAGAATTTTGGCGGTAATTCCCTTCCATAAACTACAT